CATCCCTTTCTTATTATGGAGTAATTCAAGATATTTGGGAGGTTGACTACACCAAATTTAGAATTGTCTGTATTCAAGTGCAATTGGGTTGACAGTAACAATGGTGTTTTGGTGGATGAATTAGGGTTGACATTGGTTAACCTGAATAAGCTTAGCTATAAAGACGAACCTTTTATTATGGCAACTCAAGCAAAACAAGTCTTTTATATCTCCGATCCAGTTAATAGTAGTTGGTCAATAATGCTTCAAGGGAAACCCATGTCTGGTAGTGATGACCTTGAAGATTTACAACTTCAACAGTTTACTAGTCCATCTTCAGCATCACACTTTTTACCTTCTAATGATGACAATGAAGAAGATGATGTATATGCCACCCGATTTGATCATGAAGAAGGAATATGGGAAAATTGTTAAACAATAGGTATATTATGGTTTTTACACTATTACTTACTTTGCATGTCTTTGTATTAGTTACTTTGTATTCTAACTCATTTATTTGTCTTATTTGGCAGGAATATGGCCGATTCTAGTAGGTCCGCGAAGAAGGGGAGACGTGCAACACGACTTAGTCAGTTGACACTAAGTCGAAATGCTGATGAGAGGTTACCGATTGAGTTTGATGACTCGACCGAAAATGCTATTGGGCCTCACGCAACAAAGTTTAGAAGTTATGTTGCACTTCTGGGCCGCAACAAAGTGAGCATAATAAAGAAGGATTGGGATGATGTGGAGATGCGTGTGAAGGAACAAATTTGGCAAAGCATCTTGGTACGAATTTTTTTCTATTAAATTTACTTGTATTGTTAATTCTTGTAGGATTCACTGACCTTGTATTATTTTTTGTAGCTCACTTATAATGTTCCGAATACTGAAGGGCTAAGGAGGAAGTGGATATCATTCGCTGGTGAGCGTTGGAGGGCCTTCAAGACCCAATTGACTTCCACGTACGTGTTTGGAAGCAAGAAAGGAGTGTCTCCTTGTGAGCAATATTCCTTTCTAGACACTGAGACATGGGATAAGTTTGTTGAGAGCCGTATGGATCCTTCTTTTAAGGTTCGTGTGCTTTAACTTGCCTGCTTTTAACAGCACCTTACCCTGCTTTTAACTCGCACAAAACGCATAGAACTAAATGGATAATACTATTTTAGTATGCTACATGTTTTATCAGCAATTGTCACAAAATGCATTGGCCTTTTATATATGTAATTCTCTGCACCTTACCTGCAGTTAAATCAACCTCGGATTTAATTTAACATTGCTATGTGTTTAGTTGGTATGAATTCACTGATAAAATACCAGCAGTTTTTTCACTGATGAATTCACTGATGAAATACCAGCAGTTTTTTAACTGACCGTTTCTTTGGATGTATATTTATTAGGAGAAACGACAAAAGGGAAAAACAATTCAAGCAAAAAATGTATATCCTCACGAGCTATCCCGAGGGGTTACCAGCTACTTGAGAGGAAGCCGATAGAAGAGAAGTGTAAAGCTTCTCAAGAAGCCTCTCAAAGTGACCCCTCGGGTGTGACTTCACCTCCATCACCTCCTTCTCGTCATGAGAAGTGGAAGAAGGCACGACAGAGCAAGAAAGGTGACTATACTACGGATGAGAGTCGTGTTGTGGGACGAGAAAATTGTAAGTAGTTATTTAAAAAATTGTTCAAAATGAGATAGAATTATATATTGTGTCTTCTCTAATCAATTACATTTTCTTTGTAGGATGAATTATTAGAGCAAAGTTCACAAGGGACCTTTACCCCTAGTGGATGACAAGATATATTATCCACTGCTATTGGACGACCAGAGCATCCAGGTCGTGTGCGGGCAGCTGGATGGGGGATTGGCATCCGACAATATTTTGGCACTCCTAAACCTTCCACAAAAAGTGTGGTCACTAGAGATGAGTTGCGAGGCCATCGGGGATGAAATTAGGGAAGAGCTTCGGGCGGAGCTAAGGCATGAACTTGTCTCCTTAGGCTTATCTCGGGGGAACACGGGAGGGGGTCAACAATGTGTTCCCGTAGCTTCTCGCCTCGAGGAACGTGTTAGCACCAAAGGGAGTTGTGCACGGGTTGACGTTCTTGATGATGAGTCAACTCCACTTGGTGAAGACACTCCTAGGCCTCTATGCAAGTTCTTCACAAAGGAAGGCTTACTAGTGGCATATGGTACTGTGCATACATTGGGGCCACTTATACACGGGGTAGAAATGACGGATTCCTTTCTTCGTGTTGCGGTTGAACGGGTGGAAGTTTCGAAGCTCCTGTTCCTGTTCCATCCGACGAGGTTAGAACAGTGGGGGAGGCTCCTGGTCATTTCATTCAGTGGCCTAGAGCACTTATCCAGTTTCCTACCGATCGGGTATTATATATGTTTTCTTTAATAATTTGATACATGTTTATAATTTTATTATTTTATCATAAATTTTAATTTAATTCCTTGATGTGTATAGGACATTTGTGCCCGACAGAAAGGAAAGGAGAAGGGGAAGGAGAAAGAGAAAGAGAAAGTTCAAGAGGAACTGGACATAGATCCGATACAAAGGTTATGCCTCTTAGCTTATAGGCTAGGAAAGCATATACCTTTACGGATCCGAGATGGACCCTCATGTGATTGAGAATCCGCAGCCCATCACGTTGTACTTGAGTCGAAGGACATTATGGATGTTGTTTTGAGTCAAGACATGATTTGCGTCACAATTCTCCAAGTCCGGTTAATGTAAGTCTTATGTTTTTATTTAAGTCAATTGGTTGTATGCCCTATTAGACACCAACTTGTCTAAAATGCAATTAACATGATATTTTCAATTTCTAGTTACCTCAACAAAGCTATTGCGGAAAAGGGAGTAGAAGATGTCTATGGATTCATTGATCCTGTCCACATTCGAGTTTGGGGAACAAACCGAATACTATTCAAGCATACATTCAAAAGAGATTTTGTGAAGGATCAAAGGAAGTTTATCTCGCACCATATCATTATGGGTAAGTTTTTTTAAATTACTTACTTTCAAACTTTGAATCTCTTAAGAATTGCTAATTGAGCGACATTTTTTGTAGGTCTCACTGGCAACTTGTTTATCCTTTGTCCTAAACGTAATGAGACTATTTTTTTATGCTCTTTATGGAATAAACCCGAAAAGGAAATTAAACAGATTATTGATGTGTAAGTATACTAACACCCTTATATATGAATCTGTCTTTGTGACTAATTAAATACTCTAGGTCTGGTTCATGACAGATTAAATATGAAGTATTTTCCATTTAATCTTTTATAGGTGTATAGAAGCATACTCAGTCATGGAGGGTAAGCCTAAAAAGAAACCCACATGGATACTTCCACGTGTAAGGACGTTATCTTTCAAATTCTTAACTTTAATTTACTCATTTTCTGTATTTAATGTTTTTTTTTCTTATAGTGTAATAAGCAAAAAGGAAGTTGGGAGTGCGGATATTATGTGATGAGACATATGTTAACAATCATCACAGCAAATATCACAGATTCATGGAATTTGGTATGTGTTATGACTATATCTATGTCATTGACATATATTTGTCTACTTCTGCTTATCTGAAATGTTTTTTTTTTTTTGTTTGTAGATATTCGATGATGGTCATCCAATAAGTGAAGCAGAGATTGATGACATTAGACGAATTTGGGCAGATTTTGTTATTAAGAACTATAGTCGTGATTGAATTTAATTGTGAAACATTAGGACTGCTAGTTTCTTTGTATATATAAACTTAGAATACAATACATGTTTATTGTTTTTGTTGATACAATACAATGTAGATATATAATATACATTATGTTTACTTGTGTGTTAATGCATGTCCTCTATATATAGATTAACATTCTGAGTAGCTGTAAATATTTAAAATGCTGTACAGGTTCTGAAAAATCAAAAACTAAAATTCGTATTTAAAAAAAAATATGACTTTCCACATCGGTTATGGCCATAACCGATGTAGAAAGTGATTTTTAATACTTTCCACATCGGTTCTAGGCCATAACCGATGTAGAAAGTCCGATTTTCCACATCGGTTATAAGCTATAACCGATGTGGAAAATCGACTTTCTACATCGGTTATGGCCTAGAACCGATGTGGAAAGTCAGACTTTCTACATCGGTTCTTAACCGATGTTAAAACTCACCCACTTTCTACATCGGTTGTATCTACATCGGTTGTAGAACCGATGTAAAAAGCTGCTAAGAACTGATGTTAAAGGTGTTTTCTGTACTAGTGTTAAAATCGATTTAATATAAGATATAAAGAACTCACTCAAATGACACTATATGGACGGGCTTTTTCATTGTCGTTATTATCATTGTCATTGTTATATTTGTAAGAACGGTTTTGTTCTTTTTTCGTTATTGATTTCTGTAATTATCTGTTGGATAATCTAAGTGTGAGTTAAGTTTCATATTGAATAAAAATGAGAAAGATAAACAACATATAAGAAGTATGACCCATAACCTAATGTTTTAAGGTTTTGGATTGAGAGTGGTGTTAATCCCTTACATGAGTTAAACTCATCTCATTAGTGTGTTTTTTCCTGTGAATCCCCTCAAAAGACCCAATAAATGGTATCAGACTCAAATGATAAGTCCCATGTTGAATCAAAAAGTTAAATAATATATAAGAAAAATAATATATAAGAAAATATATCTCTTAACTTAATCCCTTAAAGATTTTGGTTAAAGTAATGTCAATCCGTTGTATGGATTGTATTCATACTTCATCGCTGTGTTCTTCGAATCCCCTTAAAAACCCAACACCATTCATCTTCCACTATAGACATTATTATCTTCCCTTTGTAGGTCTCTTCTAGCCAACACGTCATTGTTGTTATAGGGAAGCTCTGTCCACGCGTTGAGAATTGCAAATGGTTTGGACCTGGAAATCGGTACCACCTTCGTAGCCCTAATTTTAAGCAAAAAAACCTCCACAAAACACCCCCGTTTCAACATTCTAGCGTTCACCAAGTTTTCTGGTAGGCGATGATGGTCATCCCAAAGCGACTTATTCTTTGCCTCATCCCAACTCCTGTAGTGATGACGGTGTCACTAACGATGACGAGTAAACTTGGGTTAGTTGTCGACGTTGGGATTCACCTGTTGAAGGTTATTGGCATAAAGGCAAATGAGCCAAGACCACGAATTGTTGCTCAACCCAATGCCAACAGAGCACACACCCTTTTAATTTTTGTTTGCTTCGATTTGTGTTTGTTTAAACTTTTCTACTTGTTTTTGAATAAGATTATTTAAACTTAGTTTTGATCATTATTATTTTGATATATTTGGAGCTTTGATAGAATTGATGGATCTTAAAGATTATATCTCTCCATCACTTTGTGTTGGGTTTTACTTAATCGAATATTTGATATTATTATTGTTGAATATTTTTTTTAGGTTGGTGTTATGCATGTTTTTATTGTTATTACAATGGTTCTTACTTTTCTTTTATTATTTTCACTTATTTACCTTTTACTGTAACATTAATTCAGGTCCATTTTGGTTTCATGGAATATATTTCCCATCAATTTCTTGTATAACCGATATTATATGTAATACATCGGTTATATAATCGATGTAGAAAATAATATCTTTATATCAATAATTTCCATATCGATTATTAAACCAATATAAAAAGATAAAAAAACCGATATTAAATCATCTTTTGCACTAGTATATTTGTATAAGTAATAATATTATAAAAAAAAGTGAGGACATTATATTTACCTTATATTTATTTTTTAGAAAATAAAATAAAATAAATCACGTAATTAGAATATAAAATAAAAAGAAAAATTAGCTTTTGATTAGAAAAACTGAAGACATTTTCAAAAACCAAATTATGCTAACCTCATGATCATCCTCACACCATATTCACTTTTTGTTATCCATATAAAAACCATTTTGTTTATAGAATGGGTTCCAGTGTATGTCTTGAGCAAAATCCTGGAAGATCCTTCTTGTATTGAATAGTATTCATCTGTCAGAGTTTGTTATGCGCCAACCACTCTGAAAGCATATTCTATGCGACTCAACAAGTTTTATTTCATTTCGTCAGAAATTCAGTTCCGTGAGTTAACTCAGCAACTTGTAGATCCAAGCTTCCAAGTATCTGGAGATAAAGCAGTGCGTATGAAAGATATTTTAGTTGGAGTTTTGTGTGTAAAGGGAGCACATGATTTGGAATAAATTTAACCCAAAATAACTCAAAACTAATAAAATATATATTTCTTTTTAATTTTCATTGACGACATTCCTTCGTTGATTATTATATTACATAATTTACCTTTAATCTCGACATAAAATGATGAATGTAACGCATCACAATATATTGACCACCCAAGAAAGGAACTAAATTGGTTATGAAAACATAGTCGGAAAGATAGTGGTAATAATTTATGGCACCGTAGGTTGTATATGAATAAACTTGTTATTATTGTGCAAGAGAGTGTCCCAATAATTGGAAGCAAAGGCATATTGGGTGGTACGTGGTACGTGGTGGTGTCCTCATCCACCACGCACTCTGAAGACAGCTAGCTCACTTTCACTGAAACAACCACCGTTGTCATCCAATTATTTGCTTCACCGCAAATTATAGAAGAGAATTCAAGTGGACCCCTCCACACCCCCTTCAACGGCATCCATTCCAAGCAACCTTTTCTACATACCAATTGCAGCTAGAAGCCACCTTATCAGTATCAATGTATCATGCATTTTATCACATTTCTTTAACTCAATCTCATATTGCCACATGTCCTTTTAGATATGCTTTTCCTCTCTCTATAAATCTATTGCACCACCTTATCAGTTGGTCAAGTTATATGTGCATGCACCTCTTCAATTCAAACATTTCATACCAACGATTGTGCTTGCTTCGGCATACCAATTATGAGAGCACCAACCATCCTAAGGAGCCTCCCCATACGCCACCTGCAACCCAGAGCACCGGCTGCTGTGGCCCCTTTGCCGGAAAAAACCCGGTTCCACCGCGAACTTGCGGCCGAGCTCAACACCCTCCGGTCACAAGGTGAAATCGGGCTGCCTCAGTTGCTTGATGCTGCAGTCACCACACAGAAAATAGCCTCCGATTCTCTGGTGAAAATTTGTTACAGAGATTGTGCTGATCGTGGTGCTGTTGATAAGTACCTAGAAGACAACGTTGAAATTCTTGATGCATGCAATTATTTTATGGACAAAATGGAGCACATCAATAAGTACGTGGACTCGTTGAGGGTGGTTTTGCATTTGGTTGACAGGGGTGGTGCTGCAAAGCCTACAACTCGTGCTTTGGAGCTTTTGGAGTCATGTCAAAGCATGGAAAAGAGGTGCAAAGCAATGCAGAACCACCGTGGCTCTTGTTTGAAGAAGATGTTGCGGCAAAAGCTATGTCATGAAACCGAATTGAGTGAGGTTATGTGTGGGTCTAAGGCCACGGCCTTGATGTCTTGCAGGTTTCTTGAACTTGGTCTATCGTTTGATCCAAAACGTGGATTGCCCCTGATGAAGATGTCTCAGGGTACGAGTTCTTGGTTGAGGATGTTGCAGGAGTTGGCAAAGCAAGCAGAAGGGAGTGCTGAGAAGAAGGTGCAGAGAAGGAGATGTCTGTCATCTTTGTTAATGCAGACAGAGGGTGCAGCTAGAGAGTTAAAGGAGCAGATGAAGGGTAAAAGGGAAAAGGAGATGAAATATGCTGTTGAGGGACTAAAGATATGCTGCAGGGAACTGGAGCATGGGGTTGAAATTGTTGAAGAAAGAGTGAAGATTTTGTATAAAAGTTTGATTGATGTTAGGATGACTTTGTTGGGGATTCTTTCCCAGCCTACAGTGTTATGATCCAATTAGAATGCTAGGAAACCTCACTTCTGATGCCACTTGGCTGTTGACAGTTACTGATGTATAGATTTTTTTATCTAATATATATATATATATATATATATATATATATATATATATATATATATATATTCATTAATTAATCCCCTTTATTTATAGATTTTTTTAACTTTTTCTTTTCTATTTAAAGTGTGTTCTCTTTTACATTTCCAGATAATCGACCTTCCTCCTTATATTAGTTACTTGTTATTATTTGTATTAGATAGTGATGATGATGTTAGCTAATGCTATATATTAATTTGCCAAAATAGGCAATTAGTTTCTATGCTTGAGTAATCATTAACTATAACGCTAATCTTATTAATAAACCTTAAAACAATTTTGATAGATTATATCATATCATATAAGGTTTAAAAACTTATTGTTTATCGTGTATCATGTGAAAAACTTATTTGTATTATCATTTATAAGAATGAAATAAATGTGTTTTTAATATTGTAAAATAAGTTTGCTTTGATTTTTTGGTTTTATTCCATTTCATGCAAAAAATATTATTTTTGTCTCTTTAAAATTACATCACTTTATATGATTTTACTGAACTATTTATGTAAGTTGAATAAAATGTTAAGTTGAAGAATTTCCCATAAACAAGTGTTACTGTAAATGCTACTATATGACAGTACAGATTATAAAAGCAAAAGAGTTCATAAAAGTTAATGCTGTATGATTTGAAATTTAAACGTGGGGTTAAGTTGATCGGGTTTAGTTCATTGAATCCAAATGTTTGTGCGTTTTGCACTTTCCAAAGGTAAACAATCTGTATCTGATTAAAAAGAACAGATAGGAAAAAGAAAAGGTTAAAAAGTAGGACAAGAATTCATAAAAGGAGGGACAGAAATGTGTGTGTATATCCATACAAATGTAAATAAATTATTAAAATTGAAAGCATTTGGTTGGAGAGAGAAACAAAGTTGATAGATTCCTTCCAATAGCACAAAAGAAAGAAGGGAATGAGACAAGATAGAAACATGAATGGTTCTTTTCAGAAAAGTTTTCACTTTGAAGCATATATCCCCTGACCCTGAGGAAGAAATTGGATCCATATGCAGTAACATGGGGTCTCATATTCTGAATTAGTATGGATGGTAAGAGTGGAGCATCATCTATTGTGACCACACTCCAACTCCATGATCACTTTTAAGCATATGCTGGAATCAGGTTCACTCACTACTAACAAACAACTAAGAGTAGTACAGATTCCTTAAAATTTATCACAAAATCAATAAGCCACTTATTATTTAAGGGTGTGTTTCAAAATATAAAGGCATATGTGATAATAATTCCTTTAGAAGGAGTAAAAATACCCAATCTAGGTTTCGAACCTGCATCCTAAATGATAATAACGACACTATCATTAAAACAGCTATACTAATAAATGAAATATAATATTGTTTTGCATTTAAATTTAATTCTATGATATAAAATTTTGTAATTCAAATATAATTTGGCCCATGCAGGTTTCGAACCTGCGACCTTCGCGTTATTAGCACGACGCTCTAACCAACTGAGCTAATAGGCCAGTTGATGAGATTTATTTAATTTTAATTATATTTAACAATAAATAAACTTTTGGAGATGAAGGTTAAGGATTAAATCAATTTTTTATATCTTGATCTGTATTTTTTTATATTATTTTAATTTAATCATGATAATAACTTCATTTTTTAATTAACCATAAGATTTAACAAAATCAACATGTCATATTAATTCAAAAGTAAGAGCATGATTATTACAACAAAATTAATATATTAATTAAATGGTATTAAAATACTAATTTGTTTTTGAAAATATAAAGTTTAAAAAGAAAAAAATTATTTAACCCATATGTTAATTATTAGCATATACTAATTATTAGTAGAATAAAAGAATATCAGTTTTCAAAATAAAGTAGATCTTAATAATATATCAATTTTTCATATGAAATTATAGATTTTTTAGGGCATAGAATGAATTTGATTGTAACACGTAACATCAGGTTTGAGTGAATTTTTTTCCAATTTTGTTTAATTTTTTTACAATTCATCAAAATTGATAATTTTTTTAGAAAATTATAAAATTAAATAAATTATATTAAAAAATGTGTTTTTAAAATACAAAAAGGTGGTTAATTTTGCTAATTTTTATAAAATAAATCATACTATATAACACAAATTTAATATTGAAAACATATTTCTATTTTTGTTTAATAATTTTAATATTAAAATAATAATAATTTTTATTTTATTAATATTTATAATATAATTATTAATAATAATTTTAATATTAATAAATTTAAAAATAATTATATTAATAAAATAAAATATTATTATTTTATATTTTTATAATATAATAACAATAATAAAATATTATTATTATTAAAAAATATTGGAAATATTATTATTGTTTAGTATGCAGTACTATTATAATATTAATAAAATATTTAGTTGTTTATATGATGTTGGAAAGATTGTGATGAATAAGGTCAAAACATGTTGCCTGAAGCATAGAAGTTTTTCATTAAGATAATTTAGGAGGGTTAGGGTGTTAAACTAAACAAAAATATAATATTTCTAAGTTTATTTAATATTATTTTTAGATTTAAATTATACATATATAAATATTATATACTTATTAAAATTGTTATTAATATAGAATATCACAATAAAATAAAAGCTTAATTAACCTTTCATAATAATAATAAAAATCTAATTTTTTTGTATAACTTTATTTAATTATAAGAAGAAAAAAAAAAAAAAAAACAAGAAATGTAACACTGTCTTCTTCCTTCAGCATCCTCTTCCTGTTAGGGTTTTCAAAGTTGTAACCTTTTCACGCATCATACTAAGAGGATCGCGATTCTTCCAACGCCTCATTATTCTAACTGGCGGAATCCTCACTGAGACACGGTAAGATGTTTCGTTCCTTTTCCTTAATCGCATTGCAAACCTACTCTTACCTTGAAAACACTTTCTTTTCATTCTGGCTATGTTTAACTCTGTGTGTTTAGTGAGAATTCGTTTTAGGGTTCCTTGTTTTCTCTGGTTTTGAATTTTCGGTGTGTTGGTTTCTCCCATTGTTCGTGAATTGTACTGTGCATTGAGAAATAAGTATGATAGGCATAATCGCAATGTTGAATGGTACCGTGATTATCTTACATATCACAGGGGGAATGACTTATGTGGATGAGGATGGCTCTTCTGGGTCTGGTGAAGATGTGAACATGTTGGATGGACAGAAGCGTCACCAGGTTGTTGTACCGTCTGGTTCCGGTGGCCGGAAGCGCAGCCGCAAGGCTAACGGGGATGCCATTGTGGATGCCATGCTGGAGATTGCTGCTGCTTCAAAGATGAGGGCCACTGCAATTTTGAAGAATGAGGACAGGTTCTCCATAAGCAAGTGCATAAAGGTGTTGGATGAGTTGCCAGATGTTGATGAAGGGCTCTACTTTCTTGCATTGGATTTGTTTGAGAACAACTCGAGTGCCCGTGAGATTTTCATTTCTCTCAAGGGTGAGAAGAGGTTGCCATGGTTGCAGTGCAAGTTGAGTGTCTCCCATAGTTGAAATCATTTGCGAAAATGTTTGGATTATGTTGTACAGTCAAGCAGATTGAAAGATGGGGATGTATATAGTTTTGAAATTTTGAATGCTATTTCCCCAATCCCATAATTTTAAGTTTATTGTTGGTATTGCTGTGTTAAGCATGATGGGAAATTTGAAATGCCTAATAAAAATAGAAGCAGATACATCAGAATGACAAACAATTTTTGCAACATTAGTCCTCTTTTAAGTCTCAGATGGAATTCATTCTGGTAGCAGCTGCGGTTGGCTACTTTTACTATAGCTGGTAGCTTGCACATTTGAGTTGCAGTTTATGCACCTTTTATCTTGGTTGGCAATTTTTTGCTTGAGGTTATCCTTGATGACCAAATTCAGAATTTTCCCCTAATACCAAATATTCAGTGCTCTATTCGAAGTTTTAGAAGGAAATAGACACGGGTGCATATTTTATCAGGGTATGTTTAATGGGGTTTCTCTACTAACATAACCTTAAATGACATATAGCAATTCAAAATGAGAATTTAGCACATTTGGAGAACAACAGTATGGAAACCTTTTTTTTATTATTTATTTATGGTTTGTCAACCAGCAACTGGTTTTCACTCTCAAATGTGATGTAATCTTTCATGTAATAATAAATAATATGTATTATTTTCATACCATTGGAATGAATGTTGCCCAATACGGTTTGTATCAGCATTCTTTTCATACAGTGGAATGACCATCTTTCGTTTATATTGGTTTTTTCACTGCTCTTCATCCAGGAAAGGTTTTATTTTTAACATTACAATTTTGCATACAGCCCAATATATGTTGCAATTAAAGAGTAGATTTTGGCCATAAACACTTAAACAAAATGATATTTTTTTTTTAAAGTTAAAATTACGGATGAATTAAATATCGGATTTTAAATAAGTTAATAATTTATAGAGAAACTGATTTCATTTTTTTTTCTTCACTAAAAGTGTCCATAAGTTTTTCTAAATATACGCAAAATCACTTAGTAGAAATAATGTATTTTGATGATATTTTTTTACACAACACCCATATTTATAATTTTTCTTATTTTATTTCATCTACTTGTTCTTATAAAATATTTTCTTTATATTTCCCTTTTTTTTACTCAAATATATCTAAATAAATATTTTGTCCTCTAATTCGATGCTGATATTTCAACATCCAAATGGATAAGCGGAAAAATTCTTGACGTCTTAAAATCTTCCGCATAATTCAAAATGACAATTTTATAGTTCATCCCTGGTTTCTTTTCACCAAATATGATGGATGGATAATCCATTTACAAGGTCGGTGCCAAATGGATTAAATATTTTTGATGATTTCTAAGTTGGATTCTCGTCAGCTTCTATATTTTTCCGTGGCTGTATGGTGCAACTGTAAACCTCTTACAATGCATAATTGAGATATCTAAGAAAAATAGAGGAAGAAATTCTACCATGCAATCGTGTCAATTTTAGCAAAAATATCGCCTTCATCTTGGGTCCCACGGTTTGGATTTTAATTTAAGAATGTAATCAATGGCCCTCGATACTTCTCTGTTTAAAAATAATAATTATGTAACGTAAATCTTTTTCAAGATATAGAGAGAAAAAAATTCCCCTCTAATATTTAACACTGATTATATATTATGCTTGAATAGACAACTCTATGCTGCATATAATATAATTTCTCCATAATAAAATTAACTTGTACACAAAGTCAAAAAATATCTATTTAAACAATTTTTTACAGAACTTTTGTTAGTAAAAAATATAAAACAAAATTAGATTATGCATAAATCAATTTTAACTAAAATTAATTTTTACCCTTTTCTTATTTTCTCTTCCACGAATATTTGTGGCAATGTTTGTCCAGAATTAGTCAACTGGATCATGATTGTTTCTTGAAGAAAAAAAACTATAAAAGAAATGTATATACCCGATTTCCCATGAGTCATATTAAACCCTTGAACTTTTAAGACACAGCATGAGTAACACTTGCAGCAAGCAGACATGATTTCCTAGAAAAATTACAATGTAAATATTTGTTTAGTGAAGACCAATAGTCATGCCTCATAAACTACACCTTGAGTATATATCATCCCGCTGTCTGGCCTAAATCATAAAAAGAGTTACAAACTGACTCATCCATCCCCGACCTCCCAAAACTATGACAAATTAATTCATTGACAAGAAATGCACCCGTGCCAAGGTATATTCCTTTCCAGCAATCCAGACACCAGTCTGAGACCATTGTACATCTTCCCAGTCCAAAATTTCCTCCAATACCTGCACAACAGTTGCAGAATTTCAATTATGATGCAATTGAAAAGTTTAAATATGCATTCTCCACGTAACATGGAAATTGTAAATAGGGTGATTTTACGTAAGAAGTTGACGAAAGACAAACAAGGACCAAGGAAGAAAAGAATACCCGAGATCACCAAGTGAACTGAAACATACAGAGGTTAAAAAATTTCAAAACGTATCATGTTAACAATAGGCCAAATGCAAAGGCTGTGTTACAAAGAAAGTGAAACAAGAGAGCAGGTATGCAGCATGCATAATGACTTTGAAAACAGCAGACTAGTGACTAGAGACTTTAACACCCCCCCGCCCCAAAGTCAAACCCCAATGCCTCAAGATTACTGACTCTATCCCTCGAGAACTCCCACGTGATTTTCATGTCTCTCCTTTGGAAAGACCCCGTCCCCTTCTAAAGTTTAACAACAAACAACAATGTATAACATTAATGGATCTCACCAAGGAGAGAAGGGGAAAAATTCTGAGGACATTATTCAATATACCAGTTGAAATAAATGAAAAGAGATTCAAAATTACCTCAACATGTTCAAGAGGCAGAGGAATGCCAATTGTACGCATCACTCTCTGTGGGAGAGGCTTCTTACAACGAGACCAACGGAATGCATCAATCAAGACATTCTCACAATCATTCTTTTCGCCATTTGTAGAGTGAGCATGGTGATTCTGAGACTTTTCTGAGGCAGGGTCATGCAACTGAGTCGCTGGTGTAGCCTTGACCATCTTCTCTCCAGTAAAACAAAGTTCGTATCTACAAATAAATAAATCATTATTAAAAGAACACCAGTAGAAAGTTCTTAAAGAACTCAGACTTTCTAGAAGATCTTGAAGCGGAATAATACTTTTCAAGATCATGATCATGGATTCTTCAAATAGCAAATTTAAAAGGCTGTCTGATAAAAAAATGAACTATACATAAAAATAACAATGATAACAGCAAAATTTTATTCAATAAGGTTTTTGCATTTTTAAGTAAACTCCTGTTGCATCTGACATTTAAGTATTTAAAAATTACTGCAGTGACAGTTGAAATACAGATACCAATTTAGCACAAGAACTTCCATATGAAAATACCTGGACAAATGTGTCTCCAAATATAAAACTTCTCCCTTCTTCAAACGAGCAGATGTGTAGAGTGGCTTTTTTAAACCCTTGTCAGCAACAATACTTATACTATATTTGATCCTGACAATTAAAAGAATTATAAATTATTAATCACAGTAAGCTGAAAAATGTGTTGGATATCAGATGTCTAGTTTAGGAAAAGAAATATTGCAAAATAAACCATATTACATTGCCCAAGGCTGAGATATTTTCAAATTTTACCAAAGAAAAAAAACACAAATTGGTTTCTATTATTTCTACACAAACATACGTAACAAAATTAGAATAAACACTTTTGCCAACAAAAACTTGCATACTGATAATCATGTTTTAGAAATTATTATTGAACATATTCTAAACATTTGGACATTTATTGTCTAAAAGATGTTTACTTTAGAGTTTCTATCTTTCATTTTATCATTCTTAATTTCTAATAAATGGAACAATAGTGATGGTTTGTTGAAAATGTGAGATAAAATTCATAAAATTAGGTCAGATATAAAATTTGATCGGACAATATCATAGAAGGTGTGAAGATAAGAAAGCCCATTAATACTTTTTATTTGGATCCAATAGAATTCTTAGTGTGAAATAGCCTTTGGTGGGCACAAAAGATCCTAAATTCATAGTGCCACAATTGGAAAGTATCTCTCCAACTATTTGTCACAGATCAACTTTCAATCATTACTCTCTAGTGAGAACATGAGTGACTAGTGATTTCCCTTTAATTAGAGTTGACAAAGTAGCATACCAATGCAAACACTTGATTTTGAATACATCGAAGGTTTGTTTCGATTATATTTGTTTTCCTCTATGCCTAGTGCTTGTATTAGTTTCACTACTTTTACTTGTTTAATTGGAATTTGATTGATATTAGAAAATGCTTTTAAACCTAGAATGTTGGGAAAAATACTAATTGGAATTAATGCTAGGAATAGATTGATTTCAATTATGCATTTTTAAAAACTCTTGTTCTATGATTATAATTTGCAAGAGATTGAGATTATAATCAATCAATTTAGGTTTATTTGCTTAAGAAATTAAGATTTGAATTATTTAACAAGTTGATCATATGATTGGATTTACCAAAATCCTTAATACGTACCAAGGCTCATTGCAGAGATTGTACTGTATTGTGACTTCTCGAACAAATCTTTGTTGCCGCAATGCATTCTGGAAAATAACAGACACCATGGTAATAGCTGCCTTTATAGATATAACAACGCAAATACCAGACTTCAACACATGAAACATAAAATTCTTCAAAAATACATTTTCTTTGATAGCACTAAGTTTTTTAGGGATTCATAACATAACAGATATGGCAACCCATAGAAAGCTAACTTCTAGAAGATGCAAAAGAAAACAGATCCACAACAAAAAAAAAATGGTAGTTTGTGTTTGCACCAGCTGATCTTGCCTATTCCCCCACCTTCTTGGAGGAAGAAACAATATATCAATTTTAGAAAGCAGAGCAATGCACAACACTGAAGCCAGAAAATAGAAGTGAATCAATTAAAGTATTTAACAGCCCAGACACAACAATAATTAAAACATCAACACCTTAACTCAAGAAATTAATAAAAGAAATATTATTAAAAAAACACAAATGCAGGAGTCAGAAAGTCCATATATGGAACAGCAGAAACAATATATTAAGCAAACAAAAAAGTTAAAATCAAATTAGCCAACATAAATAAAGTAGGCATGGATCATAATCCAAAGCTATAATTATTGATTAATTTTTGCAGTCAGTTTTTTTATTAGAAGATGTTGGACAAACCGAAGCTGCAGCCCTGGTAGTCATTGTCCTCTCAACAGTCACTGGAGCAAGGGTGGGTTCAATAGTTGATGTATGTGTAAGGCAAGGTTCAAGATCAATAGTTCCACCTCCTTTCTGAATGAAGATCGACAAAATGAGCAGTTAAATATTAAGTTTAAAAAATGAACTAGGTTGTATGACAACATCTACAACACATGAAACTGCAATAGATCAGATAACTTAATGAGCTGAAAATTGCAAAGGACAATAGGAGAATTTGCGGTGGTTCTGATACTACCTTCACAATGCAACACCGTTCAACTCTATAACTACAGCCAATCGCTGCACCCCAAGCACGGGAACGTACATTGTTTCTCAGTGTAGAAATATAGCCTGATATTACATACATAATTACCATCATTAGATTATTCCAATGAAGCTTCAAAAGAAAACAATATCTATAGCCACAACAACCGAAAGGAAACCCAAAAACTGACAATTGGCTCAATTGCCTGCTACAAGAAGATACACAAACATAAAATTCCAAGAAAATAATTATGCACATGAAATTAAATAAGTTTCAAGAGGGTGCTTAGTAGGTATGCCAGAGATAAAAGTAGTGATATCTTGTTTTGGTAATGGTACATGAAGATTTCAGTTCATAAGAATCAAGTCCTTCCTACCCCAATAAATTTCCAGAGACATTCCAGATTTAAATTTGAGAATAAACAGTTCTAAAGGCTGTGTCTGAGTAAAATTTGAGAGGATGTAGGAGACATTTAATTATTTGAAAAGAATAACTCAATCATTGACCTTACAGTTTAATGGAAAACTAAAGTTCGACTGGGAGATTTTAAATACCCAGAATGTGAGTAGAACTTGTCAAGAAGCAACCTAGATCTAAATACGTCATCCTAAAAGGTACTTTTAGGGAACACAATGGTTTTGAGATAAAAATAAAGACATACAGTCTTGAGGAGGTAGCACGCGAACAGTGGCCCGCAATTCTTGTATGGCCATAGGAGGTGGAGATGCTGTTGGGCGACAGTAACCTGTATGCATGAGAACTGTGCAGGTGTGCAAAAAAATTGTAATATCCATACTATTGTCAGACTAGTGGCCTGTGAGTTATAAGAAAAAGCGAATACATCTGTTTCTTAAAGTCGCATACCAGCAACAAGATCTGAATCATATGTGTACACATCAGTCCCCCAAAGCTGGCCACCTCTGACCTGAATATAATAATGTAATTCTCAAGATATGGATAGCTTCTATAGGAAATACATAGAATCCTGTTTTAGATTTTATATTATATGGAAGAAAAGGTAAAGAAGTAAAAGTAAAACTCATTTCATCAAAACAATAACATCAAACAAAATGTCTACAGATCCACAAAAACAGATGAAAAAGAAAAAGGGAATATAAGTAGGAAGAAAAAAGTTCCAGCTATCCACATCCTTTAGTTTAATGCTCTAGACATGGGCTTGTCTTCCATGTCTACAAATACAAACCAGTCATTTATATTCTTATTTTATCAAAATGGATATCTGTCATTTTAAGGTTTTGCACAAGGGTTAAAAATGCTCCCCAATGTTCTCTCTCATTCCACACAGTGGAGATATGAAAAGACAAAAGTAAAAGGGCGACACCCAACGCATGAGGCTACAAGCTCGTGGGGTTTAGGGAGGATAAATGGATGTAACCTTATTCCCACAAGCAGAGAGGTTGTCATCAGGGTTTGAACCCAAAAGATCAAGGACAGCACCCTTACCATTGGGCCAAGCCTTTTTCCCTTGTATAAAATGACAGGGATCAAGTTCAAGAAAAGGTATTCAATGCCTTCTTGGTTTTCTAAAGAAACAGACAAAATTAAACATTTACTTTTCAGATACAACATATACTTTGAAACAAATAGACTGTTAAGAAGTTATTTTCCATCATTGGTTTGAAATATGGTCAAAATACTTCTTATAGGGCACGGGCCATCTTCCTCCTTAATCAGCTTTTGAGATTAAGCCAAACTTATTTCTTGTACGATATTAGAGCCTATCTAGTCTTAAATGATGGTAGGCCACCTATAGATGTCTAGCCTTGCAAACATGAACACTCTAGATGTCAGTACTTGGTGCAGGGGTTGTTAAGATGTCCAACATTGATTAAGAATATGACTACATATTTTTATAAGGGTTAGGCAAACCCAACTCCTTAAGCTAGCTTTTGGGATCGAGTTAAAACTAGTCCATTTTTAATAGAGAAACATTCTAAAGATATTGTTAAATAAAAATAATTAATTCATTCTCTTTACAAGTATAATTTTCAAAATATAATCTTCATTCCAAACTATGATGCATATATTAGTTTTCAATAAAGCTACCAGAAGTCACCCAGCCCCAGATGTCAATAAAAACATAAAAATGAAAGCTTTTCACTCAGTTCAGCCCCATGGACAAAGTCCATGTTATCAACTAGTTCAAAGGAATTTCAAGCAGGCGTGGCTCAGTAGTCATTCACAGATGATCAGACTACTGTAGAACAAGTCCTGGTTCTTTGGCCAAACCAGCCACACTAATCCAGTTTTCAATGCATTATTAGTTTATTTCTCCAATAGGAAGATTTTTTTTTATCTGAAGGCTATGGAATAAAGTATTATAGTTGAAAAATAGGTATCCTAATCACCATCAACCTTTCAACTGCTCATCGTAATAAAAACATGCTATAGGATAGAAGTTTAGGAAGGCTTACATATTGAAAACAATTCAAGATAAATAGCAAAGTTCAGGCCTGCAGTTGTTTGGTTGTAAAAAATACTCCAGCAAGCAAAAGCAAGGGTTTTAACACTTAATCTTTTAAGGACATCTATAAGTAAGGGCATTGCCACTTGACCAAAAAAAAAAAAAAAGAAATCAGTCTCACATACAGGTGTTTATGGAAGAAGCAGAAGATTTGAATAAATCAAGAGGTACCAGATAATTGGCAGAATATGGATATTGATGTCTCAGAGCATCCTGGATGAATAGACAAACAACATTTTAAAATTTTTCAACTCTAAAGGTTAATAGAGGTTAGATTAGATCATGAAAGAATTAGAAACAATGTTATTTAAGAAAATTGACAGCTAAATTTGCAAAAAAAAAAAAAAACACAATTAATAGTATCTTTCAACCTTAGGGAATTGAGGATTCAGAATACCAAGTACTAAACTTAAATCAAGGCTTCTAAACACCAAGTAATGGCCCAAATAGTTACGTAGATAGGGGGATTTATCCTATAACTTAACAACTTACAAAAAGTAAAACATATATCATTATTCAATTTAAAAGGGGGAGATGACTCAACCACTTCTAAAAAAGCATTTACTATACAATGTGATAATGGTGCCCAATACCATAGCGAACAATAATTGATTTCTGGTCAACAGCTTGACTATGTCAATGGAAAAGAACTCATTTATATTGTTTCTTTAACAATGTATATAGACAATAGGAAATAGTTTCTCTGTAATTCTTACTTTCCTTCAGGAAGGGCGACAATATCCTTTCAGAAACTCAAAACTAACATAAATCTCAAAAGTTTAAGAATGTTCAAAAATAGAGAATAGGACCTTTAAATATTGAAGTGAAACCATATCACAATGAGCAGATACGAGCAATTACAACTTTTTAACAAGCCGGCTCAGAATAAAGGGCATCCACTAGTTTTCAGAATGAGCATGAGAATTGTAGAAAATGGCAAACTTCAGTCCAAATCACTTACAGTAACCAGTATGGTAGCATAAAAAGTGTTGAATGAAGAAAATTTAAAACCAGTATTTTATTATTTCAGCAAATTTATGTTAATGGCAAGAAGGACTCTAAAAGATGTAAAGAACTTTTAAAAAATTATAAATGGAATGTAAGCATATATTTACTGCATCAACAAGCATAAGATAAAGCCAAGGGAAAACAAAAGAAAATATGTGGAACAACCATGCCAAAAAAATATATATGAGAATAATAAGATCATAAACATTTAAAAAGCATTATTATCAACCACTGTAGATCATAGTCTTCAAACCTTTCTGACTTGTCTTTGACATTAACAAAAATGCACTTTTTTTCGTGGTGTAATGTGCAAGCACAAGTATACAAACATAGAAAATGCAAGAACTAAAACAGGAGAAAACAAAAAACGACAAAGACTTAAAATTTATTTTGCATCAAATAAGCAGGAAAAGCAAGCCACCACTAACACAATCTCTACTCCCTTCCCCCTCTTTAAATAGTTGAAGACACATTTTTCAATTTTATAATAACGAACAACAAAAAACTTACTTGGCGGTTTGTAGCTGTGACTTGCTCAGATGGTATCCGAATTTCCAGAGTGGGACCAATATTAGAGCTTTCACCATTTTTTTCTGTTTGAGGTTGAGATGATTCATATTCCTTCCACAACTTTATCAGCTCTTGCATGCTTTCACCAACTTTGTAAACAACAGAAGAGACTTCTACTTTACCTGAAATGTCAGAAATTATACATAGTGGACATGCAAAGGAAAGGTAGCAGAAACATCAAGCTCTAACTTTCTCTATTCCATCAGCATGCAGTGTCAAGTGTCAACAATAGACTATTAACGGATAACAATATCACAACAAACGGATAAATATGATAGAAGAGAATAATTCATAAAATATAAAACAAACAAAGGGTTAATAATAGAAATCTCTGCTAAAACCTGCATTATTTCATAAAAGCATATATTCAGTAGTCTTACATTAAATCAAGCCAGTGAAAAGGAATGACAGCATACCTTGAGACCTGCAAAAAGTAAAGCCAGATGTAGTTACTAAAAAGAAAATATAGTATGATGGACCTTAACTAAAAACTTCGTATAAATAGAATTCAATCAATTGAAACAAAGGAACTTCTAACAAATAGAAGTATCAAGCTTTCACTTTTGAGCTGAAACAAATGACTTAAATTAAAATTAGAACAAACAAACACTTAAGATAATGAACTCATACACACTGGATCATCAAAATGAAAAAACCAAGATAGGAAAAGGAAGAAAGTACCCATCATTATCTTGGGCACGGGATCTGAAACGAGGCTCCCGATTAGGCACCTGAGGGCTCCCCCTAGATCGTTGTATCCTCTTACGATGCTGACCGCTATAATTATAGACCTCTCTTTCCTTGTCCATCGCCCCCTCTCCATCAGCACACCCATCATTTGATTCCTTGTCAAGGCACCTACTACGCTTATCAGACTTGTCTCCTTCTAGGTCAGCATCCCTTTCTTTTTTCCTCTCTCTAGCTTCTCTATCTACATTTTTCCAGCTATCAACATCTTTTTGTTTCTTCTGCTCTGGTAACACAATTCCTTGTTCAGGAAGTTTAGCTGATCCATCAACAGGTTCCTTCTCATTATTTGAAACCTCTTTCTCCATTCCATTCCAAGATTCTCTCTTCATTTGATCCTTTTCCCTCTCTTTCAAATTTTCTTTCTCTTTTGAAATATCTTTTTTCTCCCTCTCTATCCTTTCTACATCTCTATCTTCCTTGGCAGGTTCTTTGCAGTCACCTGTACTATTGCTAACTTGTGTACTGTTTCTACGATCACTTCTTTCTTTTTCCCTATCTCCCCAGTCCCGATGCTTCACATCCTTCCTCTTTCTATCTTTCTCTTTTGTTCTATCATCGCCTTTTGGATCAACTTTGTTCTCTGCAACAGCTTCATGAGCTTCAACATAATCCCTTTCTTCTGCAGTTGAACTCTCCTTCCCAACCTCAATTGAAACTTGTGTATTTCCACGTAACATTTGCCATGTGTCCAAATTCCCACTAGGGGCATCAGAGTATCTTTTTCCTCTATGGTACTCTTTTGAATCTTTCCAATTCAAGTGGCCGCTAACAACATTATAACCATCTTTCTCTGTCTTGATGTCACCTTTCAGATCACTATGATTATCTCGATCAAGCCTATCTTTGTTGTCATCTCCTCTACCTTCTACACGCACATCCTTTTCACTCTTAGCACTTGGAGGATCCCTTCTAGCTTCACTGTACAATTCCTTCTTTTCTGTCTTTGTATCACGGTTCTCAAACCGGATATCTCTACTGTCCTTGGCATCCCTTGATTCTAGCCTGTTCTCAGGACCAATAGGATGATCTGCATGAGAATCATTCATGGATGACGACATCCGATACACGGGATGAAGTGGAGATCGTCTATCTGCATCGCGAAATTCAGTTCGGGGTGCTTTTGCCACCCGAGAATCCTGACCTATATCATAGGTCAAATGGTACTCATTTGAAACTGATGATGAAACCAACTTTGAATATGTACCCGAATCTTCATGCGGATGCTTCGAAGATGGATGACCAGACTCTTCATGAGATCTCTTAGGTGCCCCACTCATAATGAAAACCCAACAAAGTCATAAAACTCAAAACGAACGAATCTGGAAGCCAAGAAAATCCCTACCTAAGCAGCCTGTTTGTTGTTCGAAACTCAGTAACTGTACGCCAGCAAAAAAAAGTTTAGGAAACATTCAAACCATTGTACACCAATTTTCACGAGCATTCAAAATCATTGTACAACAAATGCATAACCAGCATTGAGACACATAATAGCAACATTCAAACCTAACACAGGTGACGAGGGAGACAGTAATTGATGCATCATACCGGATATAGTCAGCACCAAATCAAATTAACAGCGTGTAAAGCAGATACAAAATCCAATTTGAAAATTTCCAATTGCTTCTTAGACACCGCAGGTACATACATGCAGTTCAAGCACGATTACAAACAACGGTATAATAAGCGTACGAACTACGCGAAAGAAAAAACTGTAGAATTAGAATTAACAATAAGTGAAAACTAAAAAACATAGCACAGCAGTAACAGATCTCGAAAATAATTAAATACAAGTAAAGCATACGCAAAGAAACACCCAACCTCGAATAACAAAAAGCAGTGTTTCCCCCAACGAGATGAATGTGAAAGGTAATTGACCGTTGTATGCTAAGTAACGAATGCAGATGGAAAGACGAAACAGCCCTACTCGTAGTGGTGACAGAGAGAAAGAAAGAAGAAAAGAGTGATCGAAGAAAGAATTGAGAAATTTGGAAAAGAAAACCCTAGAAATTGAGGTTGGTTTGCTTGACCGTAGGCTGGGCTGGGGGTGAGTGAGACCCTCTTTCTTTGTGTTCTGCTACGTAACGTGTCTGATGTTTGAGGGGGACTGCGTGAAACGTTCAAGCATGTATAATGTAATGAAATGTAATTTAATTGTAAATGTATATCTATTTATTGTATAATTGTGGTGACTCGTTTTGTGTGCAATCCACCCAAAAGTTCCGAAACACAGGCCGCAGCCGCAGGGTGTGCCCATAGATAAAGATGTGACAAATCAACCCCTCGGCTAGATGTAGCTCATTATTCAGCTGGTGCTTAAAATATCTAAATAATATTTACATAAATTTTAAAACTACACTCATTCAAAATATTTTAATGTTGATCAAAATTACAAGAAAATTAGATTATGAAATGGTGAAAACAAAATGCCAACTAATATTAAATATTGATATAATTAGAGAAATGACACAGAAAAACAACTTTATTTTTGTAAAATTCGGTTATTGTAGGGTCATATTCCTAGGCTAATAAGAAATAGTGAAATGCTCATCTCAGTTCATAACATTCCATAAAGTGACCCCAATCTAATATAAGACAAATGCACACATAACCCTTACCATATGAACCTCATTATAGATAGAGTCATTAAACTACAAATTTGTTGCTACGTTGTCACTACCAATGAATACTAGAGTCAGATTCAATCTTTAATTTGTTATAGCTATTGAAAAAACATCACTAACATTCTCTGTTTATGGATGATCCATAGAAATTATTGATGTACAAGTAGGAGGCTGAAAAACATGACCTAAAGAGAAGTAAAAAGTAGGAAGAGGACTTTCTGGGTGCAAATTTAGCCTAATGAAAAACACTTTTTCCTTTTCCTCCAACTTTGATAAACGCTTTAAATATATAGCTATATCCCTAATCTATTCTAAATATTGTTGGACAAAATAAATTTAAAATAGAAAGTTATTCTAGTTTAAAAAAAAAAAAAAGAATTGAGAAAAAAGGTAGGCCTTTTGGGCCATTATCATTTTTTGAACTGTTCAACACCAAAAGCCCAAACCCAGAAAGTCAGAAAATGCACTGTAATATTGGTGGTGGCTGTAAATCTAAAAAAAACCTTGCCACGTCTCTCCCAACCAAACTCTCTATTCCTCCACCTATGGCTTCCAGGTACGGCTAATTTCTCCACTCTCACCTTTTCTCCCTCATTTTCATTGAAAACCGAACGGAACTCTCCAAAGGGTATGCCAAAAACTGAACATTGACACTCTCACCCATCAAAGCTATAAACTTTCCGTCATTGTCGCTGAACGAAGATGACCCCATTTGCCACTAAACATAGAACGTGTTCCTGTCTGTGATCTACTCACACTCTTTTTATCTGTCTGCACAGGCGTTTGAGGACATTAAAGCGGTGGATGAAGTCCAAGGGATTCCAGTGGAGCGATGCACTGGAGTTTGTGGACACCCCAGAAGAGGGAATAGCGGTGAGAGCTTTGTGCGAGTTGAAGGAAGGTGATGTTGTGGCCAAAATGCCAAAAGAAGCTTGCCTCACCACCAAGACTAGTGGGGCACGTGAGATCATTGAAGAGGCTGGTTTGGATGGTCATTTGGGGCTAGCATTTGCCATCATGTATGAGAGAAGCTTGGGTGGGGACTCCCCTTGGAATGGATACCTTCAACTCTTGCCTTACCAAGAGAGCGTGCCAATTGTCTGGACCCTCAATGAAGTAAACGAGCTTTTGTGTGGTACTGAGCTTCACCAGGTATACCTTGTATTGTTCATCAGCTTAATAATCACGAAGGATGAATTAACATCGACCATATAGAGACATGCTACACATGCTAGTAATTTTGTATTGCTAATTCGAATTCGTGTGAAAATGAAGAGAATATGCTGCTTGTTTTTGTTGAATTTTTGCTTATTAGATTGTCTTTCATATATAGTGAACTTAATTGAGCTCCTTATGAATGCCTTGTTTCTTCTTTTGATTTATGCATTACAAAATCTCTTTGGAATCTTCATATTCTGAATAATGTCATGGCAGAGATTCATTAAATGCTATATCAAAGTATTTTTCACAATTAAATCCAATGATAGGGAGTTTAAACGTTAAAGATGAGAAAAAAGATACATATTAGTTAGTTTACATTGCTGACTGCCTAGTGATGTACTTACGAGGAAAATAAACTGAAAGAATGTGTGAGAAGTTGTGATTAGCACGTCATTGAAAACTTCTAAGATAATTTGTGATCTTTCCTTTCGGTCTTTGCCTTGGCATCAAACTTGTGATTTAAATTTTGTAATATAACACTATGTTTGTTACCTTTCATGAAAATTTTCTGATCTCTTACAATTTTAGGCAGACAGTGCAAGAAGACAAGGCTCTGATTTATGAGGACTGGAAAGAGAATATTCTTCCCCTATTGGATTTAGCACCCTTAAAACTAAACCCGAAATTCTTTGCCATAGAACAATACTTTGCAGCAAAAAGTCTTATATCTTCACGATCTTTTGAGATTGATGACTACCATGGTTCTGGCATGGTTCCCTTGGCAGATCTGTAAGTAAAGCCTATGATCATTAACATGATTTTATTTTCCAATCTTAGTGTACAGCATTATTTTCCATTTATTACATTTTAAATTCACTCCAACTCAAATTTGTAACTGGTTTTAAGGATGCAAGTAATTCTTCAATCTCAGTTGAGCGATAATTTTGTGGTCTAGATGTAAAGCCTTTTGAAGTTTAGCAAATGCTGATAAATTTATTCTATCTAGATAATAATGCCTTCATGTCTTTATATGCTATTCCAGAAATGGTGCATCAAAATCTTGTGATGCTTTTACTTTTCAATTTGAATGTATAGTAATAACAAAACTTTCCAAAGAGATTGAGAGTACATGTAATGTGCACAAATTGTTTCTTGAGCTAGAAAACAAAAATACAAATATATGATACAAGAGAATGGATATTTTAATAAATAGATGAACATGACATGACTATAATACAATATATACTTTTAGTATAAATAAAAATTTAAATCAAAAGATTGAATTGTTTTATTTTTAAACATATCATTGTATACATACAAAGCTTTTGCTATTATTGTTGTTCTCATCCAACTATTATTATATTCCTAGTGGTATTGCTAAAGTTTACAAGTAAAAGTAAATATATAAAAATGTAACTTTGAAACGTCCATGACTGACATGACACAACTGTAATTTTGAAGAGTCCTGCTTTCCTGTTTATTTATAAGATCCGGATCTGAAGGATTTCCTATTCTAATAATGTCTATACTGTCTTCTGCTCTAGATTTAATCATAAAACAGGTGCAGAGGATGTGCATTTCACCGCCATGTCCTCTAATGATGATTCAGACAGTGATGATGATGATAGTACTAATGATGGGGCTCTTAATGAAGAAGTAGCTTTCACCCAAAGTTCCTCTGTGGATATGACTGCGTCCAATATTGCTAATGCTGGAAACTGCACTGCTAGCGATTTAGAGAGTTCTTCAGATAGTGAGGGTGATACTTCTATGTTGGAAATGATTATGATAAAAGATGTCAGCAGTGGAACTGAGGTGAGAACTTTCCTTTCATTTATGTGATTTTTCTTCCATGAATAAGTGATCAGTCGTACATTGTCATAGAAACGGACCTCAGAGTAATACATGCTTATCTATCATTCATAGTTTGGAAATATGTTTTACATTTCAATTTGAAACGTTCAATGTCACTCTTGCCTAACAGGTATTTAATACTTATGGGCTGTTGGGTAATGCTGCTTTGCTTCATAGATATGGATTTACCGAGCAAGATAATTCCTATGATATTGTAAACATAGATATGGAGCTGGTACTTCAATGGTGTTCTTCAACGTTTTCTGACCGCCACAGTAGAGCAAGAGTTGCCCTTTGGAGAAGGTTAGGCTATTCTGCATGTGGCAACCAAAACTCTGAATATTTTGAGATCTCATTTGATGGAGAACCACAAATTGAACTCCTGATTTTATTACACATCATGTTATTGCCAGATAATGCTTACCAGAAGCTAGACCTATCGGTATCAGTTACTGGGAATTCTCATGAATCAAATGTTGGAACCACCCTTCTGAATGGTTATATCTTTCCTAACAAAGCATCTAATATGAGCAAGAAATCCTTGCTGCCTAAAAATACTTGTGATGCCCTGATGTCACTTGCTGACATGAGGGAGAGTCTCTATGGTTTGAATTCAATTGAAGATGACATGGAAGCATTGGAAAGGTGTAGTTTAGTCAGAGAGAGAAAGGTGTTCCACTCTTTGATGCTGCGCATCAATGAAAGGAAGATTCTTGAAAAGCTCAGAAAGTATGCTTCACCGGCAGTTGAAATGAATAAGCATAGTTCTCCAAGGAAGAAATTGAAAAGGACAACAAAGAAAACGAGTTGATGCTTTTGGTGTTTCCTTTATTTTATTTTTTTCATGAGATGCTATAACTTATATATCTCGTTTATCACATTTTGGATTTTGGTCAGTAATAAAAATGACGTATCCTTTTCTTTTTCATTATAATCCCTGCATTCTCTCATGTTGTTATATTTCCCTCATATAAATTGTTTTGCATCAACCATCCAGTAAATCATAATATAATGTTTATATCTATGAAATCAAAAATAGAATTAAAAATAAAAATATTTAGCATAATTTATATAAATATGTTATTATTGTGTGTACACATATTAATCAGTAAAACATAAAAATGATGTATATGATGAAATATCTAAATCTGTCACTTCAATTGATATGATAATGAGTCTGAATTGTTGCAACATAACTTTGATTTGGTATTGATAATCTTCACTGACTTCTACAATCAATTAGTGGTAAGGCATATGCACATATTATGAAGCCTATAATATTAGGGTCACTGTCCTCTTTGCCAACACTGAATCATTGGTAATAAAATAATCAAATAATATAATACTTTGGACCACATGGACTACTGGGAGAACTGCACGTGACCATTACACTTTTAATACTTCGATTAAGATTTATAATATATCATCTCCTTGCAATAAATCCAATTACATTAAATTTATTATAATAATATATTTTAAACACAATTGAATTAATTGTTTCATATTTGGTACTCTTCCATCATCCAAAGATATAATGTAACACCTTATTTTTCACTTTCAATCTTCATCACACTGTACTATTTGCATAGGCTCATATGTAATTAAAGACAAATTATATAGATTGGTATGAGCAAGTTAGTGATGGATTTATGATGGAGATAGGATATGATGATGGGAGGTGTTGGATCTAGCGGCTGAATGCAGAGGACTTATTATGAGCAGCCTATAATTGTCACTTGTTCTTAGGGCTTAATCATTGGGGTTGGAAAAATATCGTACATCACTTGCCATTCTTCTTCTTCCTCATAGTGATTGCTGAATTGTTATTAAAATTATCTACTATGCAGGATTTCTTACAACTCTTAGTTATTATTGGTTTTTCAAATGCTAAGTAAGTTTAAGTTTTAATAAATTGACATTCATATAGATTAACAGACAGAACACATTTTATGTCAAAGGGAAATCAAAATTCTTCCTTTGGTGTGGCCCACAAGATGTTTTCACGTTATATTTACCCAACATATTATTTGAAGTTTGCGGCGCAAAATAAAATGTCTATATAAATAATTAACATATGGATTTACTATTTCCTATTTCTATTTCTTATCATCATTTTGCCTCTCTAATATGGAATTCATAATTTTGGTTCCTGCATTTTTAATTTTGTAATTTTGTGACGCGTATATGGAACTGATGTGTCATAAGGTGTTATAAAAGGACTAGTATACACGAGTTTTAGAGAGCTAGTAACAGAGAAAACTTGCATTGAGAATGATTTCTACCTTTTTATAGTAACTTATATAGAACAAAGGTATAATGGGGAGGGACAACCAACCATGGTCCAAAATCTAGGACAGTCCAATCTTTTGAGTGATGCACTTATTGCAACTCGCAAAGCAATGGACAGTCTTTTCTTCTAAGTGGACAGTTCTCCACATATGTTAATCTCTTTCGGCTTCCTGTTTAACTTTTCTTCTTTTCTTATCTTTGTTTTTGGTAATCCTTTCACTAATTTAATCTTTTTAAACGACAATCTTTCTAATAGCGTAAGCTTGATATCTAACAGTGTATGCAAAGCAAAGCAAAGCATAGCATGCACCCAACTTTTCAACTGTCTCTACATATATACTCTCTAGTCTAAAGACATTTATGTTTTCTTTAGGTCTGAGATCTCTCTCTCTTCACGCTTAACACATACATTGAGACAAATCTGAACCTTAAACTTATGAGCTAGCTACTTTAATTTCTTGCTATAAAGTGATCAATAAAATAGTATTTCAAATACCCTAAACATCCCATATATCTATTTCTATCACATTTCCCACTCTTCAATTCTCTCTCACACCCTCAATGTTATATGTACTATGCAACACCATTTGTTGCTTCACTTGCAAAATTCACAATCAGAACCTCATATACCTTTTTCCATCAACTCCAATAACTATTCCTTATAAATACTGCCAGCAACCTTTTACAACTCTCATCAGTCTTCCTCATCAAATAAAAGTTTCCTTTGTTGATTATTTTATCAACACCAGTTGTAAGCTTCAAACAAAATGGAGTCAAGCAATTTACATGCTGACAAAAGGGCGGATAAAAAGATAGTAAGATACAAGGAATGTCTGAAGAACCATGCAGCTGCAATTGGAGGCAATGCAACTGATGGGTGTGGAGAGTTCATTGCTGATGGAGAAGAAGGCACCCTTGAGGCTCTCAAGTGTTCAGCTTGCAATTGCCACAGAAACTTCCACAGACAAGAGATAGAGCCTTCTGATTATTCCACTCCTTTGATGATTATTCCTGACACTACTCAGATAAGGCCCATGTTGGCTTATCTATCTCCCAACAAAAGTGGTTCAATTAGTCCTTCTGATGTGTCTGATGAGAAGGACTGTGAAGATGGGGTGATTAAGGAGGTGGAAAATCCAACTGAAAAGGTGAAGAAGAGGTTTAGAACCAAGTTCACACAAGAACAAAAGGAGAAGATGTTTCTTTTTGCAGAAAGGGCAGGGTGGAGGATACAGAAGTTAGATGAATCTGTGGTGCAGAAGTTTTGCCAAGAGATTGGAATCAAAAGAAGAGTCCTCAAAGTGTGGATGCACAATAACAAGAATACTTTTGTCAAGAGTAATTATCCTTCCACTAGCTAGCTTAGCATGAGGCACTATCTTTTTGCCCTGTCTTAGTATTGCCATTATTTGTTATAAGATTTAGTTTTTTCAGTGTTTTGCTAAACATCCTCCGTAACATCTGAATATTAATTTTAGGGTCATGTGTCGTTGACCTTTCTAGGTTTAATTTTGAGAGCATGTCATGTGGTTTAGAGTGTCTCCAACACCAATCTACTGATTTAGTTGTTTCAAAATCTTATATGTTTCTTCGTTAATATCAATTGAGAAAAAAAAAATGATTCACTGTTCAGTTTGATGCTCAGATGCAGCTTAATTAACTTGAAGAGAATCTTGCAAAAGATGTAATATATGCAACAATGGTGACCTTATAACCCATTTTTTTCAAGAAAAGTGTATATAACACAAAAGAACAAGTCTGAAAACAACGTTGAAGCTTCGGATATGATTAAAACTGATTACATGGTTGATGGATGAACCACTTGTCTACGTATAATTGCATTGAGACTCAGATAATCAGTGACCAATGTCATTTTCTACCATCAGACAAACGTTATTAACAATAATGCATATGGTTAATTTTGTTATATAAATAGTAAATAAATATAATTGTACATAACTATTGATTATTGATAAGTGCTTAATAGCTTTACGAAATTTTTGAAATGTTTAACATGTTAACTTTGATTCACAATTGATTAATAGTATCACAGGATTGTTAATCATCACACGTAGTAAACTAAATGGATAAATATGACTTGTTTGGCTTCATAAGTAGTTGATTGGAAAGGAAGGTATATATAATTATGATAGAGTTCAATTTAACTTTATATGTAATTAGTATTAGTCACATATTAATAATTATAATAATAATAATAATATATTATTATTATTATTATTTTATTATGAATATTGAATGGACAAATTTATCATTATTTGGTAATTATGTGACAATTACAACAAAAGAAAGAATTTAGAATTACAACAAAGAATACAAACCCAATTATTCATTTCTTCAACATACTCAATGACTGTTATGAATATTTTTTTTTAAATAATGTTTATTGGTTGAAATTTATTATAATCGAAAATGATTTTTTTAATAAATATTGTGTCTTATAGTTAACTATTTTCTTAGGTTTGAAATTTCAAAATTTTTTAGCATTCTCATTGTTGTAATATTAATAGGGTCGTAATCCAAAGTGAGAAAAGTTATTGAGAAGTAAGAAATATTAGGATTGGATCAGGGAATTACCTCTGAATTTGTTTGAATGCAGTGAGTAATTTTTAAAGATATGTTATTTTTATTTAAGAAACTGGGCGTGCATAAGGTCTTAAAATAGTTGAGAAGTGATGAAAAGAATTGGTGAGTGGAATTCATAAAAATATTTTCAAGTGGGGCGCATGCGCAGAAAGAAATTAACTTTCGTAATTTGAGCATCATAATGGAACGCAGATGTCAACTTTAACATTAACGTTATGCTTAAAGCTTATTAGGGTATCGATTATAATCAAGAGGGATTAAAATACAATTACATTCTATTAATTATGATAATCATGCATAGCCATTAATTGATGTTCCCGTGATGTTTCAATAGTAAATGTTAACAAAATGTATTCACATATATAGTTAGCAAATTCATTATTATATATCAGATAGTTGGTGAGTTTTGTTGGCTGCAGATCTTGATTTTTTTTTTTTCCTTTATTTTCGGCATAATGATAATGATTAATGCGAAGACTAATTATTAAAAACAGTGTTTAGAATTGACCAAGATTCCAATCAAGGTGAGAGAGAGAGAGAGAGAGACAATCTCATTTTTAAATTTTAATAATATTTTAATAATATAAAAATATAATATTTTAAATTTTTTATATATATAAATATCTTTTGAAAAATATACTAACAAAATTAATCTCATTCCAACCTTGACCCTTGATGTAGTAAAATTAAACAAGAAAGGTTAAAGGACTAAATCTATCAACTAAACTGGTTGAGCCTATTTTGTAATTTCTCATTGAATCTATTAAGTAGAAAAATTGCTTTTGATATTTAGAAAAGAATAACTAATTTGCTACTATTTTGAAGAAAGTATAAACTATTGAAAATCTATCAATCTCGAAACTATTCTATGCTGTATTCATGTTTAAGGATTACAACTATAAATATATTGATGATTAAGGAATAGAATACACCAAGGGATGATACAAAATAGAGGTAGCTAGTTAAGCATACACATTTATACATATAATAATATGCATAGAATGTAGATTTAACTAGTGGTGGTAAGGATTGAGGTTGTCCTAAAAGCTAAAACAATCACAAACCAGAATTGATTATTCAGTTTATTTTGCGGCAATTTTGTCGAACTTCACCGTTGTAATTGTCTTTGACATCAAGCAGACCCATCTTCACCATTGCCCGTTGGAAATCATAAAAGAACATGGCTTGGTTGAATGCATAAGCGTTCACAAAGTTCCTGGTTTTGGGACTGGTGTACAGTGTCTGGTCTGATGTAAGAACCCCGTTTCTCCTCAACAAAGCGTTGAAGTAGACGTTGTCAAAATCGTTACTAGTGGCATCGAATGGTTGCTGTGCGTTGTCACCAGAACTGCATGTTCTCGCCAGTGTCTTGGAAAATTCTGCATCCAAAGTTGGATCCACTTGGTTCAACCGGTTCTTGAAAGAAGCACACCTTGCCACTCCTAGTGTATGAGCCCCTGCATAAGTGCCCAACATCATCTTAATCATACTTTTCTACTTTCCAGTGAACTAATGGGTGCTTTGTTACATGGGTTTTCTATCATTTTCTTCCATCGTGATATGGGTACCAAGTCTTCAAGATAAACAAGGTTGTTAGTAACCATGCATGTTTGATGTTTCTAATGTGATTTGTGAAAGTTAATTGGACAAAACACATTCTCAAATTTGAAATATGTTTAGCATATAATTAAGAAGATAGTTATATATATATAGGCGTGTGCCTGTGCCTGTGCCTGTGCCTACCAGAGAGAACCACCATCTCTTGTGCAGAAAATCCACGTTGACCAAATGACCTAATGAGCTCAGAGGCATTGAAAGTAGGGAATGGCAAATTGATAGTATCCTCAAGTTTGGATCTTCTTCCATCCTTTCTTCCTTTAGGTATGTCATATACTGGTCCTCCTGCCTGTGATCATTTCATAAACGTAATCAGTTTCTAGACAAACTAAATGAATTACTATTTCATTACACCACAAAAGAGAAAAAGGAAATGAGTTATATGTACAAAGAAATTAAAAACAGTAATGTATTATTTTGACTTGAATATCTTACAAAGAAAACTGCGTCTCTAGCAGCCATGGCGAGAATATCAGCGCATGAAACCACACCAGGGCAATGAATTTCAAGCTCTTCTTTGATAGCATCTATGACTTCGTAGCCTCTCAGGCTCAAATTTCCTGGGGAATCCTTTTCTGCAGTGTTATCCTTAGTGGAGTCAATCAGAACTGAGCCATCACATCCCTAGTACCAAAAACAAATAATTTTGATGTGATATATACTGTGAATTAAAACATTTTGTGGATGCAACCGTCTATGTCATTTTGTCCTTTGTTGAAACACATGCACCACACAACATCTTCCATAGTGGTGAAAACTTTAGCGACAATAAGTAGTTGAGTAACCACCTCCACGTATTGGGCATTAACATTCTATGAAATAAAAATTCAGTGCATATAGCTGAAAGATTAATAAATTGCACTGTACTGTATCTTCAGCAATTGTGTAGCAGACTAGTTTGAATTATTTAAAAATTATATATAGTTCACTAAAGTGATTTTTAATGACTTTCATGAAAGATTGTGATAGTAGAAGGCAAATATTGGAGGCTATTAAAGGAACTTAATATGAAAAAATGACATTTTCCTTTGAAAATCATGCAGTGTGTGGTAGTAAAAATCCATGAGTTATTGAACTTATGCCTCTGTACTGAAGGAGAAAGAGAGAGAAGGAACCTCAATGAAGCAGTCATGAAAGTGCATTCTAATGAGAGCAGCTGCTAGAGTGGGATCTTCCAGCAAAGCTCTGTTGACAATGTTCTTAACAACAGGTTCAACAAAAGGACAACTCATCAAGTAGTAGTTCATGTTTAAGCCATCTGCTCCATATCTGAAGCCATATGCAAACACCTCAATTAGCAACAACACTGTTACAAGGTTTGCCATGACCACCTTTGAAGGCCTCACACATGATTTGTACAACATCTTCACAAAACACGGACACTTATATATATATGCTGTGTGCGACGTATAGTGAGAGAGGTTAGTGAGGTTGGTTTGCGATATATAAGACCCAGAAATTAAGAACCTTATATAGTGGGGAATAGTTGGCAACTGCATAGTGGGCATACACATATTATACTTATAAAATGAAAATGATTGAAAAAATAGTTGGCCAAAACTTAGAAAAAGGATAATTGAAAAGAAAACAGAAAGGTGAAGATAGTGGTATATGCACTTTATTATTTAGCCCTGCACCATGTTTTTAAAATTTTAAATTCTACCTAATCACGTTCATCTTTAATAAAACTATGTTGTATGTGATCAATGTTGGAATGCATGTAATTCAGATGACACCTATGGAATTGCACATTGGTGACTGTCGAATGAGCATGAACCAGATCATGATTCTCGCACGCACTCTTGTGGTTGCAACAATGAACCTCATTACGTAAAATGATGAAAACCTTTGAAAGACGTTGAAACTAGAAATCAGCATTAGATAAGGTGGAGAAAATTGACCAGTAGAAAAGAGTCGTAACAAAAATTGAGATTTGTTTTATGTAGATTTTAGGAGCACTGAGAATTTGCATGCATAGAGTATTGCAAGTCAACTTGATCTTAGAATGGTGGATTCGAAATTGACCGAAGACACGAGATGATAATTAAAGTTTTGAAACCATTTGAATAGGACAAAGTTTACATTAAGACAAGTATATGGAGGTGTTAAATCAACGATCGAGATTAAATTAATTAGTCTACAATTTTAACTTTTTGAATTTTTCCATAAATATAACGATTATAAACTAAAAACCAGGGTATATGTAAGAACTTCAAATAATTTATTAAAAGTATTATTCAAACAAAATTTTATTAATTTGTATTTATTGGAGTCTTCAATTACTACAATAAATATTAGATTTAGATATTATTTTCTCATATATCTAATCTTATATGTTCTAATTTTACGGATAAAAAAATTATCTGCATATTACAAATTCTTATATAAAATTAAATAATATAAAGTTCTTATCTTTTTATAAGGACTTAAATATTTTTTATGTTTATTAAGTATATAATTTATTAATTGAAAAAGGTATGAGTGATACATTTTGTTCCTACAATTTAATATTATATATATAGTTTTTTATTTTTAATTTCACAAAATTTAGTCAATTTAATATTTATTTATTTTAAAACAACAAGAAAAAAAAGTAAAAAAAAAATTCGAATGACTTTTTACAAAGTCAAGGACTGATCAAGGATCTTTAAACTTAAAGACTAAAATATCAACTTAACTATACAATCCCTAGAATTAATTTAGAAGTTACTCATTCATGAATTATATAAAAGTAGTATGTATGGAGAAGCCAGAAAAAGACGTAACAACAAAAAACTCACCAAAATTTAGTATCTCAAATAAGTTGCGTTTTGACTTGGAAAAGCACCAGAAGTCTAATCACACACAAATAATTTAATATGTGCATGTGCTTAAATGTCTAAGGCACTACCACTCCCATATAATAAACTATTTAAATATATATTATCCATTAGAAAGTATTCCATATTCACAATAGTTTAGGTGTGAAACTAATGAGAGTATGTGCCAAAACCCTAAACCTAAAAATAAAATACTACTAATTTAATAAATTCATGCAATGCATTTTGACATTACAGGATCGCCAGACTTAATTCCAAAGTTTATACTTTATGTTCTTCTCGTGTATTGTCATCTGATAATTTGTCCATAATATGATAACATAATTAGCTTAATTGAGACTAAAGTCAGTAAAAAACAAAACCTTTGTAAGTGGGGACGTTGGGAAAGTTGATGGAGCTAGCTGGTTGCCATTTAGATTTAAGAGAGAAGAAAGAACAAAAAAAATGATGAGCGCGTCCAATCTATGTGCTAAAGTGGGACGAAAATTGGGGATGGAAAAAAAGGGGAATCCATGCCAAGGTGAAGCAAGAAATATTTTACACCATATATTCATTTTGCGAGTGCTGTAGACACGTTTGTTATGGAAGTGGTGGTGGGTGATCTTAGTTCAAACCATGCTTACTTTGCAAACCATTATGTGCTTACGTGCAATATCTTCTACAAATTTCAATTATATTATTATTATTATTATTGAATCATTTTTATGTTTATATGTGCACAAAGTGTATACATTTTCTGACAGTTTTTGTTTTTTTGTTTTTACTTTATTTTGTTATAGTTCCATACCCTTAAACCATAAGTTTTTCTTCTTATATCCTACACACACTACTGCAGAATGAGCATTCAACGTCGGGTGTAGAAGGCTTTCAACGTCGGTTCCAATGACGTCGTTGAATCAGGCGTCGTTGAATGTCAAAGGCTTCTACGTCGGTTCATCATACTCGACGTTGAAAGTGACTAAATTCTACGTCGGTTCTTGAATTAACTGACGTTGAACTCGCTCAAGCGACCGGTGTACTCGCTTGAGCGACGAAGCCTTCAAACAAAGGGGACTCTCGGGTGCTGCTTCGCTCAAGCGACCCACGTTTCGCTCAAGCGACCGGTGTAAATTCTACGTCGGTTATTGAACTAACCGACGTTGAACTCGCTCAAGCGACCGGTGTACTCGCTTGAGCGACGAAGCCTTCAAACAAAGGGGACTCTCGGGTGCTGCTTCGCTCAAGCGACCCACGTTTCGCTCAAGCGACCGGTGTAAATTCTACGTCGGTTATTGAACTAACCGACGTTGAAAGTCCTATCTCGCTCAAGCGACCGGTGTACTCGCTTGAGCGACGAAGCCTTCAAACAAAGGGTGCTCGCGGGTGCTGTTTCGCTCAAGCGACGAACGTTTCGCTCAAGCGACTGACGTTACAACGTCGGTTAATGCAATAACCGACGTAAATATCCCTTTTTTTTTTAATATTTTGGTCTGTTTTTGTGCTACCATACACGACCTGCTATATAAATCTCAGTCCAGCCAGATTTACACAATATATACACAATGTACAAAAATCTCAGCCAGGTCTTTTCACATAATCACTATATATTTACACAATACACAAAAATCTCGATCCAACCACATTATGTACATAATACACAAAAATTATCAATCAATCCTATTATTCCTAACTACTTGTACAAACTTTTCTGCCCATTTGTTTCGAATCATGTCTATAGTATCCATAGGCAAATGTTCTATATCTTTAAATGCCTGTAAGAAGTTCACAATAATAGAATGGTAAACCCTAAGCAATAAAAATAAAGGAATTGAATATAATAGCAAATGTCAACTTACCTCGTCCCAACTATCCTGAATGCAACCAAAAATGATGAGTCACATCCAATACATTACATAGTAGCCGCACTCGTAGCCTCCATTTTGTTTGTTACACTAAAAATGAGTAAATATATTAAAAATAACTATTAAATTTGAACGTAAATTAATAGATAGTATAATATATATAAAGGCTACTTACTTTCATAAAATTCCAATTTGGAGTCGTGCTTTTACTTGTGTGTTTTCCATCTAATGTACTACAAACCTTTAAAGCACTATATATTGAAAATAAGGGGATTAGAAATAGAATAATCAAGATGTTTAGACATAATATAATAAATACTTACTCGTTGACAATATTTTTTAGCTCCATGTCCGGTTTTCTTCCCAATGAGCAGAACCAACACACAAGATTTTGCTTTGGACAAATAACTAATAGTCGCCAAGTGGTTTCTGTATATACACATGATTAGAATCTATTAAAAAAACTTGTGTAAAACCGGAAGAGGCTGGGATAACTTACGAATGATGGTATGCTCCAAGGTAAATATCTCTTTTAGAGACGAGTCATCCAATTCTGGATGTAACCGAGAATTTGACCACGCTTATTCCCGGACTTTTGTATGGATTGAGGCTCGAAGAATCCATACACGTGACCAATGCCCTGCTCCACTATCATTTCGTGCATCATCCTAAAATATGCCAATTTAAGTGAACTTATAGCTTATATATTTACTAAAATGAAAAGAGTCATGAAAGATATGAACTTACAATGTCCAAAATTGTAAAACAGTTATATTTAGACATTGATTGTCCATCCCAATCTCCAGGGCATCGGTGTGGGAAATGTAGAGGGGGATATTGCTAGAAGCCATCCCAAATAATGTACAATCCCATGGAACTTGGAATGACTGCATATATAATTGTGGGGAAAGAGACAAGAGATCAAAAATGGGATTTGGAGAAGTCTCCACAACCGGTGTCTTCTCCTTAGATGCGAAGGAGTGGCAATAGCTTTACCCAAGTCTTTTGGCTGCCGAACATCCTACATATTTTATAAAATATAATCATAAACAATAAATCAATTTATTTATGTGTTAGATGTATTATAACCATACATATACATACCTTTGCCATGATTGACCTAACTAAATGTCGGGGCCAACTAATGAAGGTCTGAAGGGCTTGGCCCACTGTCTGCACCTCTTCAGTGGGGATAGGGACACTAGCCGCAGCGTCAACCACCTTTTCAACCACTACTTCAACCACCTTTTAATACTTGCAAGACAATGACATAAACTACGTTTCTCCATCTTTGACAAGGTGTGACATGCTGGTGGTAGATATGTTCTATTGCCTTCAGGCCTTGGATGTAATTCAGGACGTATTCCCATCTCACAAAGGTCTTGACGTGCTTTGATCCCATCCTTTGACTTTCCTTGAATGTTTAACAATGTGCCAATGAGACTATCACATACATTCTTCTCCACATGCATAACATCAATACAATGTCGTACTTCTAAATGGCTCCAATATGGAAGATCAAAGAAAATTGATCTCTTCTTCCACATGTTCTTGTCAGAAGACCTTTTTGGGTCTTTCCAAATGTAATGCTTATGTTCTTCACTCGATCGTAAACTTCTAAACCGAGTCAGTGGTTCTCCGGCAATTTCATCCTCCTGTATGCCATTAAAAGCTTTCTTCGGTCTACGGTATGGATGGTCATGCGGGAGAAATTTTCTCGTGCTCGTTATAAACTGTCTTCTTTCTATGTTTCAATTGTATATAACTGGTCTCTTCTTCACAAATAGGACAAGCATAATGCCCCTTCACACTATACCCACTCAAGTTTCCATAGGCAGGGAAGTCATTAATGGTGCAAAATAACATTGCATGCAACTTGAACTTCGCTGCCGATACCCATCAAATGCATCTACTCCTTCCTCCCATAATAGTGTTAAGTCTTCTATCAAAGGACTCAAATACACATCTATGTCATTTCCTGGCTGTCTTGGACCTGAAATCATCATACACAACATGACATATTTGCGCTTCATGCATAACCATGGTGGAAGATTGTAAATCATCAATAAAACGGGCCATGAACTATGGTTACTACTTAAATTTCCAAAAGGATTCATCCCATCTCGTTGCTAATCCAAGTCTAAGGTTTCTTGCATCACTACCAAAACTTGGAAATAGACGGTCAAAATTCTTCCATTGGGGAGAGTCGGATGGATGTCACATTTGCCCATCACATGTTTTTCTCTTTGAATGCCAAATTAAATTTTCAAGCATCTTCGTGAGCGTACAACCGCCTAAATCTTGGAATAATTGGAAGATACCATAAAACTTTTGCAGGAGGACGTTTTTTACCACTCTCCCGACTACAATCATCACCATCCTTCGCTTTGTAACGTGATACACCACATGTTGGACATTGGTCTAAAGATGAGAATTCTTTCCTGTATAACACACAATCATTAGGGCAAACATGTATCTTCCTATATTCTAAACCCATCGGACATAGTATCTTCTTCGCTTCATACATACGGTCCGGCAAGGTGTTATTGTCTCGGGAGCATCTCCTTCAAAAGTTGGAGTAATTCATTAAAACTTGTATCACTCCAACCAAATTTTGCTTTTAGATTGACCAATCTTAACACAGATGACAACCGTGTGAAAGTTGTACATCCGGGATACAAAGGTGTCTCCGAATCGGTCCTCAATGTATCATATATAGATGCATGTGCTTCAAGAAACCTCTCTTGACCCACATCACAAAGCATGTCCTCTATTCGATCTTCGCGAGTTACATCATCCTCAATAGTTTGTGATACTTGTTGGAATATCAACCACTTCACCGTGCCATGTCCATATGGTGTAATTCTTCATCATCCCATCGCAAATAAGATGCTCCCGCGTTATGTCCATCTCTTGTACTCTGCCATTTACACAATTAACGCATGGGCAGTAGATTTTTCCATTCATTTTGGGAGCATTTTGTTCGGCAAATTTCAAAAAGGAGTCAACTCCATTCTCATACTCTTCTGACATACGACTTGCATTGACCCAAGTTCGATCCATCTAACTACACAAGAAGGCTTGCCTAGATATTCAAGGTTTATTAGAAAAGGTTTAACAAAACAATACAAAAAAAACGTGTACATTGCCTAACAATGCTCTAATGTTCCATACATGCTCTAATGTTCCATATACCACTTCGAAAGCTAAACCTAAACCTAAACCTAAACAAAACCTAATGTTCCATATACCACTTCGAAACCTAAACGAACCTAGATCAAATCAAACCATATATACAAAATCATCCATCATCTTTCTAATGTTCATACGCAGGAAATGCTCTAAATAATCCATATTTATGTTAAATGCATGCTGTAAATCATCCATACAACTTAATCTAACCTGATGAGAGCGCAGCGAGTGGGCGGCGAAGGAGGTAGCAGCGGCGAGGGGGCAGAGCACGGCGAGTGGGCGGTGAGTGGGCAGCAGACAACAGCGAATGAGGTAGCAGCGGCGAGGGGGCAGAGCGAGGGGGCGGCGAAGGGGCGGCGAGGGGGCGGCAAGGGGGCAGCAGTGACGACTGAGGCACAGTGAAGAAGAAACAGAAGGAGGGAATATGTGGGACGAAGAAGAAATTGAATAAGGCGGGCCTTAGATAGGACATTCAACGTCGGGTAAATCATGTAAGCGACGTTGATTTTGGGAATTCAACGTCGGTTATACATACCCGACGTTGAAACTCGATTTATCTCCAGTCATGCATATGTTTTAATCGATTGAAACGAGATTTAATCGATTAAAATAGTTCTGATCGGTCATAATTGGATCCCGATCGATCATCCCGACCCTTTAAGACATTTTAATCGATTGAAACGTGTTTTTAATCGATTGAAAAGACTCTGATCGCTCATAATCAAAACCCGATTGATCACATTTGAGTCTCGATCGGCCATATTTGTATTCTGATCGGTCATAATGAAACAAGATTCATCTCCAAATCATATGTTTTAATCGATTGAAACGAGATTTAATCGATTAAAATAGTTCTGATCGGTCATAACTCGGATTCTGATTGATCATCCTGACCCTTTAAGAGATTTTAATCGATTGAAACGTGTTTTTAATCGATTGAAATGAGTTTAGAAGGGTTTTCAACGTCGGTGAGGGCATAACCGACGTCGAAAGCCTACTTTCCACGTCGTGCATGCTAAAACGACGTAGAATGAGTCAAAATTTGACTTTCGACGTCGGTTGGTGACCAACCGACGTTGAAAAGCATGTTCAACGTCAGCTAAGATGTAACCGACGTTAAACAACTGACGTTGAAAGTATATTTTCTAGTAGTGACACGAACAAGTGTATAAGAAAAAATTTGAATTTTTTATTTATTTAAGTGTTATTTTATATCAAGTTCATTTTACTATATATAATAAAAAGTATTTTTTTTTAAAAGCATATTAGAGAGATGCTAGCATTTTTCTTTTAATTATACCCTTTAAAATTATTTATTTTCAATTGCTAATAATTTTAAATCGTCACGAGAATATTAGTTTCAATTCATAATTTATACAAACTCATTTTCCTATTAATTTTTATATCCTTGTATAAGTAAATTTATACAAACATTTTTTCTTAAAGGATTTTTTTATGCATAATATATAAACTAATTTTGATTTTCTTGTAATTTTCCTAAAATATATGAATAATTTTTACTCAATAATAAAAAGTATGACAAAAAAGGTCTTACAATAAAAGTAGCCTAAGAAAAACAATATTTAATAAATGGACTTCATAAAGAATCAAAATAAGATCAATTCAAAATTAAATCTAACATAATAGAAGTAGTTATTAAATGGGGAGATAGGTTAAAAATGAAAATGATTAGTCTACATCTTTTAAAATGGCCCAGTAATTTTTTTTTCTTAAATTTATATTAACATTTTCTTAAAAATAATAAAGTATTGATAAACTAAATAGGCCCAATGGTGTTTTGAACAAAATTATTCGTCAAATCTGACTAAATTGAGCTGAAAAAAATATCAGTTGATAACAAAGAATAACGAGGATAAGTACAGAAAAATGCATCCTGTTAGACTATTTAATTTAATTGTATTCATGAGTATACTTGGTAACAATTAACAAAGAATAACGAGGATAAATACATACAAAGTAGCACCCTAGTTAAAATTACAGCAATAAAAAGAAAATTATGTCGCCAAAGATCGATTATAAACCATGAAGGCCCTTTTGACGAAGAAAAGAAAGTTGAATATTTTGATTTTCCTCCTCCACATGTTTCCGTCAGTCAGTATGTACACAAAATAAACAAGCTACGGTGGAGCAGCTGAAATATGAACAAGACATGCCCTGTCGCTGAACCTATCGCTAAGCCCTATCTGTTTTATGTACAGGTTAGTTCAGGCCTAGACAAAATAAAAACATGAAAAGGAGCTTTTCATACACATCTAATTCACTAACTAACATCAGATGGCACTGGGAAGCTTTTTCCGAAACAATTACTACTAGTACTAACGTTAGTCACAGTCTCATCTTTGCAGTGCCCACCAGATTTGAGTTTGGATTCAGAGTTTTGACATTTCAGGCAAACAAAACGTGCAGGAACAGGATCAATATCATGGATGTCAGAACACCTAGTGTGCCGCCACACACCACATATATCGCACGCCAGCATTCTCTCCCCATCGTCATCCTTAGCCCCACAGCTGCAATCTACAGTCCACCTCTCAAGTCCCCGTTCCATTCGGAACTTGCTCAGCCCATTCTTCCCAATGCATCTTCCTCGGACAGAAACTACGTCTTTCGATCCTAACAAGAGCTTGACCTGGGTGGAATCGTCAACACCGCTATAGCCTACTAGCTCATCAACTTGAAATCTTCTGAACATTAGATATACATCTTGAAAAGCATTCGCTGCTTGATTTTTAAGCTCGGCCACAGTGGCGTTCATGGGCAGGACAATTAATTCTGGTGGAGCTACAGCTTCTGAATCTTCAGATTCATCTACTAGTTCAACCTGGCATGATATTCGTAACTTGTGCAAATCTGACAATTGCAACAACTCAGGACCATAATCTTTTACAAATTGCTTGCAGTCGAAAAGCTTTTGAGCTGAGCTCATGGCAAGAGTCCTTGTCCCTGCTTCAACGTAGTTTATCATCATCTGAGGATGAAGCAAGGAGTCGTATAAATATCTCAAGCATTGTAGCAGGTTTTCTTCAGATGGATACTTCGAGCCTGAGGAATTATTGTTCGCTAAAGTTCCATAACAAGCACCAGTAGCAGCCTCGAGTCTAAAGCAAATAAAATACCACTATATCAGAACCGATTCACATGATCACATTACATATTAATATAAGAGAATCTTCCAAATAATACAAACATATATCATTAATGCTTTGAAAAGAGCACCATCAACATTTGAAGGTCCAACCTCAATATTAAGAGAATGTTGATGGACTTCATATGCAAACACTTCAGTATTAGTACATATGAAAAACCCCCAAGAAAAAAAAAGCAAGGGAACGATCAAATATACTTAATTTCTGGTCAACCTTCATGCATGATGATAATGCCAAGAACAAGTATTAATTCAGCTTCATGCAATTAAGTAGCCCGTGTTCACAAAATCCTAAAACTAAAGCACTGACTCGTGTACGAGTCAGTATGTATGACCTTCTTCTAAGCAGTTAAACATTCTATATGAATTAGACTTTAGTTAACCTGAATTCGTAAACTCCAGTTTGAGGATTGCATCGGCTATTAACAACCATTCCACCATAAACCATTTTTCCTCCCAGTTCTCCCAGGCAATAATCAAGCAGCTCTGGAGAGCCCACCTTGCAGGCCGCACCCCTGAGAGCCCGCCAGTTCACCCACTTAGACTCAGACACCGCACGAAGCACTCTAATCATAGCCTGCTCCACACGTTCAATGTCTGCCTTCTCCCAAGAAATTGACAATCCACAAGCATTAAAACGACGCTTTCTACAGGTTGTGTCATCTATATTTGATACAGTCTTGCGAGCATCACCAATCAAACCCATTATGAAACAAAAGAGATCTCTTATATTTACAAGCTCATGCTCTGACAAAGACTGGAAATATTTGATCATGTCCTGCACACGAGAATGAGGCATTGGCATCTGTCCCTGAGAAAAGGTGGACAAGGGTAGATTCGATAGGTTTTCAACAGCAGACTTGTATGCTTCATGCGTGAGACAATAGCTACCCGAGCCAAATCTATAACCCCAGTCACCATACCATGGGTGTCCCTTCACAATGGCATGCAGCAAGCGGTACTCTAGCCCATATTTCTTTGAAACATCCATGACACTAACTTTTCTGTCCACAACAAAAGCGAAGAAAACACAATAGATCAACCGATTGCTATTATATTCATATAAAGCATAAATAACCAAAATAAATACTCCCATCTGAAGAAGGTTAGGGTATTTCAAGATACCCAAAAAGTTGAGTAGTGTAGATATCTCTCATCTCTAAAACAGGGTACATTCTTATGTGACATGAAGTTCAATTTGAAGAATCATTAGCTTTTTAAGAACTGGCTCTGCATCATTCTCCCCCACCCTAACAGCTAACTAGGTGACAAGACTGTCACGAGCGGCAAGCGTATAAGATAGAAACAAAATATGAAAATTTAACTCCAAGAAATGCTAATTAGGTGACCAGAGTTGTCATAAACGACACAAATATAATATAGAAATGACAGAAAGAAGTAGCTCCCAGACAATGGAAGTATATGTAAGAAAAAATAATTGGAATGAATTACAACCAAGAATCCTAACCTGACTCCAAGAGTCTTGCATAGGCGATCCCAGAAATCCATTATATGACAACCAGAAAGAAATCTAGAGCCCCCTTCTCTGCCATTAACCCGAAGAAGGTGCCCATATCCATTGGCATGGACAACGCCATGTAAAAGATGAGTAGTGTTCTCTAATTGGTGGTACACCCAGTCTTCGACATCATCACTGGTAGTCACGTGGTTGCAAGACTTGCATCTGAAGATAGAAAGCATTACCCAAAATGTAAGATCAAGGACAGCACCATTGCACTCATCCAATTCACTTAACAGTTAACATGGTTTTGGTGATAAGCTCTTTCGAATAATATTAAGGCAATCCGAACATGCATTGAGCCTCAAACGAAAAGAAACTACCCTCTCCTTCAGCATACTATGATTTTTCATACTAAGGCAATCCAAACATGCTGATCTTCAAACGAAATGAAACTACCCTCTCCTTCAGCAAAGATGATATTTCATACTAACAGATCTACTTCACTGGTTGACAATTGAAATTAACTGAAGGACGCTCAATGACACAAAACCCCAACAAATTTGAAGCTCTGACAAACAGGCATTCCATTTCAGCAATCAACCACATTAACATAGAAAAATAACTCGGTAGCAACAATGTTTTCATTTAGAGAACGGCTAAATTTCGAGACTTTGTTTCCCAAATTTGTATCTACAATCAAAGAAACAGTATGCAAAAATTAGTAGTAAATGGCCAACACGAAATTGACTGAAATAAGAACAGCAGAGACATATTCAATTTTTTTGGGGTATCAATTACTCTGGGCAAAATTGAAAAGCAACAACACTAATAATAAATTAAGAAAATAACAAAGGTTTCCATGAAACATAAAAAAGAACAAAAAACAACACTGCTAGGGAAGCATAAAGTTACTTACTTGGATTCTGACAAATGCAAGATGTCTCCACAGCACATACACGGCTTGTGGTACCCACCAATGGAGCTTCCATCGGCTTTGATTATAAAATGGTAACGTTTTCCGCACACTGGATGGCCGCTCCAACCTAAATAATAAATCCATAAGTTTCAACTCAAATAAATAATAAATAATAGTAATAGTTATTAAGACAAACAAAATTGAGAATCCACGCGGATTTCCTCATAAACAGTAATAATTAGCATTAAATAAATAATAAAAGTAATAAACACTAAACTTAAGAAAGATCACGATTACAATCAATGAAGATTATGATTTACGAAAAAGAACAGCCTACATCCAGACGAGTATGCGTGGCACAGGACTTGAGAAGCACGTCAGGACTAACTAAACAAAGTTGGACCACAACAATAACTAAATATATTATATTAAATATATAATATTAAATAACATTACTGTATTAATATGAGCTGGCACTTAAGAAAAGACAGCAAGGAGCGTGTCCCCCAAAAGAACTGAGACCGACGCGTGGCATTTCACAACCCTTCCACCTGTCCAAATTTTCATGGGCCCCACCTATCACCTAACCCTTCTTTTCTTCTTATCGTCCAACATATCACTTGGGATTTTATCGTCACCGAATCGTCGATACGTTCCATAGTCCACTTCCAGCTATTTATCACTCATTTTCTTTCTAATAATGAAAAATAAATAAATATTATTCTGCTGTATACTCCCTTAATCATACTTATAAACTTCATTGTATTTATGATTATGTTAGCATATTAATATAATAATAAATAATTATAAATAAATAAAGGTCATATCGCGAAATGAACACGATAATTTCGGTGATCGTTTCATTTTTATGGTTTCACAAGTTGAAGATCGGGAACCGGAAACCGAAGAAAAACCTGGAAAAAACGATAAAACCAAAGCGATTCATGCAAAACAGAACCGGCTGAACTACTGGCGAGTCAACTCACCGAAAACTCGGCACTGATCACAGTACACGGATCTAGATCTGGCGACGTCTTCCTCCACGACGTCGAGGCACACCACCGGCGAGTCAAGGCCTTCGGTGAGCTCGCCAACGCGGAAGAGTATCTGCCACGTCAGCAGGTGCGGGAACAACGCAGACGGCGGCGGAAGCAGCGCGTGCTTGGTTAGGAAGGAGCGGACGTTGGAGCGGAAGGGCCCGCCGGCGAAGTTCTCCGCGTCGGCGAGGGACGACGTGGGGAACGTGAGGAAGTCGTAGAAATCGGCGGTGACTCTCTTCTTTGCGGCGCGCTTGAGGCCCTTCCCTCCGCTCACAACCATCATGGAGGCGGAAACAGGCGCGTGGTCCAGCGTAGGAGGCGCGTGGAACGAGATCTCGAAGAGAAGGTTGGAAGGTTCTGGATCGGGTAGGGAGGAGAGAAAAATGAGTCGGGAGTTTGGCGGTTGATAGAGAGAGAAAGAAGAGCAAGAAAGAGAGAGGAAACGATCGTTTCAGATTAGGGTTTGGTAGTGTGTTTTCTGTTTGGATGGTGAGATTTGATGGTCGTCGTTGGATTAATCTGTGATCAGTACTTTTGTATTTATACACCCTACATATTAAATTATTCTTACAGTTTTTGAAAAAGCAAAACGAAGGGAAAAGAAATATTCCTTCTCGGCATTCGCGAGAAAACTGAGTCAGTTTGGGAAAATTTAGAGGAGAGAGAATTTCAGGGATCGGAAATCTTACCCGTTAAGCGAGTTTACCGCCATTAGTGTTCCTGCACATTAGACCTTTTTTTTAAAAATTAAATAAAAAATGTAAATTCTTATTTTTCACAATGTTTATCTCAACAAAACTTGTTTAAAAAGGACTAACTGCTCGCATGGTGAAAAATAACATTTTCCTAATTACTAATTTATATTTTTATTATTTATCCATATTCTTCGCATGGCAGTTTTCAGTTGGAAATTGAAAGATCGAAGATTTAGTCTTTGCCTGACTTCTTGGAGAGAAAACAAAGGGGTGAAGAAGGAAAGAAATGAAAAAAAAAAAGTATAATTAATTAATTTGAGAGAAAAAGAACAAATATTAACAAAAAGTTTATGTACGAGGACCGAAGTTGATTTTTTATGTATAGTGAACATTATTGTTTTATTGTTATTTTTGTTTAAATATTATATTTTTTATATATAAAATATTTATTTATTTATTATACTATCATTTTAAATTAAAAAAATATAAAAATTTGTTTATATTATATAATATTTTGATTTAAATATGATCTTGAATATTAAATTACTGTAAATGTGATAAATAAATAATGTTAAAATATATTTAGCAATACAACATGAGAGTTCAAATCCAACCTACTAAGAGGTTTAATATTCACTGAAATATTACTGTTAGAAATAATATTATTGATCTCTAAAATAATAAAATTAGTCACTACTTTAGTTAAAAACTAATTTAAAGGTTAATTTATATAAATAGTTAAAATTAGAGGCTAATTTAAATCATGTTTTGAAATTTAATTTAACTAAATTATTTTTTTAACTTGAACAATGTAATGATTAAATATATTTTGTTTTTAAATTAGTTATATTATTTTTTTGTTATTATTGATTATTTTAAGTTTGAATTTATTAATGACTGAATGACCTGATTTTGTAAAAGAACGTATTTCGTTTCAAATGAAATTTGAATTCATATAAAAGAAAGAAAAAGTTTCATTACATTCATGAAAATGAAATTGTTGGTTACATTTCTTCTTCTTATGTTAGTCACTTAAAGATCGAACCCAAATATATGATAATGACTTTTTTTTACTCTTGTATTTATATTTATCTAGAGTGATAATATTGCTTTAATATAAATATATTACAAAAAGTTCATTAAAAAAAATGTTCACCTTTCGAAAGCTTTCTATAATTTCATAATTAATTTTTTAAAATATCCTAACATGCTTATTATTTCAGAAAAAAATCAACAAAAATAATTAGAAAACTAATTGTGAAATATATAACACAAAAATGAATTTTAAATTATAGTTTTTGAAAAAATATATCAGAATCAACCATACAGTATATATTTTTGAAAAACAAAATTTAAAAATAAGTTCTCAATTTATGAATCTATTATATATTTTAAAAAAATAAATTCACGAGTTTTGGATTTATAAATTTGAAATATATTTATATTTTTATAGGTTCTCAAAAAATGAGCATTGTATTGTGAAATTGTGTAGACCCCAAATCTTGTCGGGTTCCCCAATAAAATTAAAGATAACTCATTTCGAAGATGGTCAAGACTTTATTAAGTCCTTAATAGCTTTTTCTAAGTTCCATTTAAGATAGAAAGGGTTTTTAGAGACAATAAAAATCGCAAATTTCGTCAGAAATAGCAGATGGTCATCCAGGACAGTCAGACGGTCGTTCATGCCTACTTTAAGGCGATGGACGGCCGTCCACTTGGCTCAGACGGGCGTCTATGGCCACTTTTTGTCATGGACGATCATCAACTTTTTTCTGGTGCGATTCCTTATAAATAGGAGCTTCATTCCTCGAATTTTTCACACTTTTTCACTCCTACCACTCTCTAGGAGGCCTTTTGGCACTTTTGAGTGACTTTGAGCGTTATTCCAGAGTTCAAGTGAGCTTTCCGATTTCCGTTTAAAGTAGAAATCGGTTAAGAAAGTCTCATTTTGAGACATCCGACCCTTGGTAGAGTGAGATTTTATCTTTTGCGGGAAGAGTGTGCCTGTAGAGTGCGGGGACTGCCAAAAAGTGTCCTCAAGTTGCGAAGGGTTAATATAAAGCTTGCTTCGGAGGTTCCTTCCCTATTCTCTCTCTCTTTTACTGCTTTCTTTATTGCTTTCTTTGTGTGCATTAGATAATAGGATCATGTAGACATTTAAATTCTGCATGTAGGTAAAATAATAGGGTAAAAGCATAATTTCTTTAAGTATTTATTTTATGAACTAGTCCATCATAGGGAACCCGAAAGGGGCGTTGTGGGGTGCTAACACATTCCTCACACGTAACTAACTCTCTTACCCGATTCTGGTTGTAATGGCCAAAATTGGTTTTTTTCTAAAACCAATGTCTTCTTCTCTTTTTTTCCTTTTTCGATGTTTATGGTAAAAACATCGATGGCGACTCCCTCAAACCTTTTCAAAAATCTCACCTTTAGAACCAGTCCGGTTATCGGATAACCTAAAGGCGTCGAACCACTTCTTTAAAAAATGCGAGTCATCTAAAATCATCACGTTACTCCAACCGTCTCTTCTGACGGCGGCGATAGATGACAACTCCGCTGGGGAAGCTAAAGAGTAGATCTCATTTAGTGATGAATTAGTTTAAGAAACAAAAACTAGAAATTACGTTTTTACCCTTTTTTGTTTTTATAACATGCTTTATTGTTTGACTTTAATAATTGTTGTATGCTTATTTTCTGCAATTGTTTGAAATAAACAACTGTACACAAACATTTGCACACAACAATCCCTTTATACCTCGGGGCAAGAGAGAATACACATAGGGAGTGGGTGGCAGGTACGACCGACCATGGTAATGGCCTTAGTGTCAGCATGTCATTGTCGAAAACCACCACTCCAGGTGATAACCTTATTCTTTTGGTCTAAGAACGTTGACACATAAATCTGTGCATGGTTCAAGCACTGAGAGATTGAAGGGTCCTTATAATGGGGGGCACCTTAGGGGTCTGGCCTTAGTGAGAACAGTTAGAACCTACCTTTGTCAATGCACTTTTCTGCAGGAAACCCTACCTCGTGAATAAAACATCTCTGTTCGCGGATGAGTGAATTGTTTGTGCATTCGTTTATTGCATTTATCTATTGCGTAGCATAATCATACAACAGCAAAAATAAAAACAAAATCTCAAAAAACTCTTTCATAATAAACACCCTTATCTCGGACAGTCTACATTTTAGTTAGCCTGGTTTCAAATTCTTTGTAAGTCAAGTAACCACGTGGATCGACAGAACAGATAAGGGATTATAAAACAAATTTTTTTGTAATAAATAAACCAACTTTATCTCGGACAATCTACATTTTAGCTAGCCTGGTTTCAGGTTCTTTGTAAGTTAAGTAGCCACGTGGACCGACAGAAGAGATAAATGGTTAAAAATAATAAGAACAATCTAAAACAATAAAAATAATTTTTACAATAAAAAGATTTTTGACAAAGTCAATCATTCTTACCCGCATCATCTCATAAGTGGTAAAATCATGAGAGAAAATAAATGCATAAGGAAAGTATGCATACACATCATCTTAATAAATCTCTTATCACTAGTGCAAAATGGGTCTTAATGAATCTTAAGAGCATTTTTTGGAAAAGTTGTTGGGACAAATCCCCTTTGGGTATTTGCCACCTGTTCTTCACTTTTTCCTCTTCGTTTTGATATATTGTGCGTCTAAATCCGACGTCCCAGTCAAAAGTTATCTTACTTTGAACATTTTCCATCTTTTTATACTAGTGCATACATAAACACACCCATGTTATGGGGCATTAGATATCCTTAAGACAAAGGCGAAAGAGACCCCGAACACATTTGTAACCATCCACAAGGAAGGGATAAGTGTACTAAGGTATATGGTGACCTTCATTATACTTGTCAAATCCATGATGAGGAAGGAATCATTATACCGAAGTGGGTATGATGCTCCGTGAAGCGTAAAACTTTAAGGATGATACTAAAGCTATTGTTTTAAGGTGTATCTATCCCACACCAATCATTCATTTTAAGTAATAAAATTCATTTTTGCATTCTAGAAAGTGGTTGGTCTTCCTATGGTCTGAACCCGTGCACAAAAGGCTAAAGCGATGAAGCAGCTAGAAAAGCAGAATCGTAAACTGCTGAAGTTAACTCCTTAAGAGAACAAATGGTGTAGATGATGGAGTTAATGCGCCAACAGAACCTCAATAAGGGCGATACTCATGGTAATTGCTCATCTCACCATACCATGAGTAAGAAGAAGAGGAATTCTTCTACGAACAAAAAGCTTCCGTGCAGTCCGAAGTAAGGGCGATGCTCATCCAGCCCCCAGAAGTCTCCAAGCAACAAATCTCCGCTCTAGAAATAGGGCCATGGATGGACATAGCTTTGACGTGAAGGAGGCAGCTAATATGTGTCTTGTCAAGAACATTTGTTTCCCTCCAAAGAACATTTGTTTCCCTCCAAAGTTCAAGGTTCCAGACTTTCCAAAGTACATGGGAATGATTTGCCCCAGGAGTCATCTTACTATGTACTGTCGCAAGATGGCTCCCCATGCCGACAACAAAGAACTCCTGATACACTACTTTCGGGAGAGCCTGA